TCTTTTTTATATAGAGGTTTAACCGAGTTGCATAACTCAAGGATATGCCCAGAAGAAAAGCCACAAGTGTCGCAACTTACAGCAAATAATTCTGGGACAGCAACAGTAGGAAAGGCAAGTTTTCTTGAGCCAAGTACTTCGTGACCAGGCCTGCCACTACTTCGAGTGCTCGTATGAAGGTTCTCATATTGTTGATTTTGGCTTTGAACTTTACGTGACCAAAATCGCTTAGTGTCTGTTACGCCCTTTGAGATAGGCGTTCTCTGTTTGGTTTGGTCACGGAGGGATCGTCGACTGGCCCGTCGCTTCTCTATTGGAAGGTTTGCGGGCAGACTTTCGGCAAGCCGCTTTCAACCATTGGATAACTGCTTGGATTGGTTTGAGACATGATGAGGAATCGGTCTGCCCAGCCCATCAACTCGCATTCTAGAAGGCAGTAAGCGCAAGCTTCTTAGTGGTATTGACCTTTATGTAACGGAGGAGTGGGCCGTCGGTAGGTCCACAGATGATTCAGCCTGAGAATGAATTTTGGTTCTTTTAATGTATTTCTTAGTCTGACCAGGGCTCAAGACAAGGTTATCAGAGGACTTATCCCTATCAGATTCTTGATGGTTGTCATGAGACCTTGTGCGTCGAGGCCGGGAAATTTCGTTCAGAACGGGCTCGGAAGCATCGGGGTTCGGCATTAGAGCAACACTGCCAGGGTCGGTCGCCGAGGGTTTTTGGCACAATTGAAGAGATGGACCTTCAAAGAAAGAGGTGACCAGTGTATCTGCAGATAGTTTGGCCACTGGAAAACAGACTTTGGCATCTTTGTCATCATTTATACAGTTTGGGCTCGACACAGGTGTGGCTTAGGACCAGGTAAAGTCGTCAGGGTTGGCATTCTCTGGGCTGCTATAATTCTGGTTATAGTCTTTAATACCTGCTACGGGGTGACAAGATCAGTCTAAGCTTTCTCGTGATAAGTATATACTTACACATATCCATAGTGTTATTAATGTTATGGCAGGATGGTGATTGTTCCGTAGAAGCAGCGGCTTGGCAAAGGCTGATAGTACTGTTGTCCAAGTCTGTACTACCAGCATTTCCAAGGAATGCGCTGGGCTGCCTTAAAATCCTCGCCGGCCGTTATTAGATGGTTTCCCGTGACTGAAAGCTCCAGTGTCCTGTTCAAATGGTGTTTGAACAGTGAAACCTCTCCCAAGGGACCGCTGGACAGTCTGGGTCTGATAGCAGTTAAGTACCTCATCATCGACTCGAGGGATAAGATTGCTGCGGATTGAAGGCATCTAGAGGAAGTTCATAGGTTGCTGAGGGTTTGTTTTTGATGTAAGAGCAGCAGTTGTTCGCTTCGGCTTTGGCTTCGGTGGCTGCCATGCCTTGAACTTCAAAATAGACATAAGGATAAGATAAAGCAAGACTGAATTAGAACATTTTCCCCCCAAAGTGATTAAGGAAAGACGACTTATATACTTTACACCCTACCATGAAACCCAGCTCTCATTCCATGTTAGTAGCAATGCCTTATCATAATATACCAGCGATTGCCGAGATAAGTCTGACGTGTTTGACATCCAGAACAGGTTGTAGCTCTCAAGAAGGCGGTATATGACCATCTGCCATATCTCAGCATCCTTGCAAACCTTGACCATCTCAAAATGGCAATACCAGCGAAACATCATACGATAGTCTGTAGCCACATCTGATTCCATTTCGCCAAGATCGTCAAGAGCGGGTCAACGTCAGCCTCACGGGTTCTCCGGCGGTAAGACCCTTTCTGTAGATGGTTGTGAAGGAGTATACGACGTCTCAGAAATGTTGACCTGGGCTAATCGGGAGGCCCGTTAGGGGCCGGCTAGCCGGAGAGTCACATCTGGCAAGGTTGAAAGGGGTCACCAGCCATTCCTCTCAGAGGTGCCTCAGCATGAGGATATGGGGCACAGGAACAAGATACCCTGTCCATGGCAGATGAGGCGTTTACTCACGCTTACATAGTCTAATACGCTCCACCTTTATTATGGGCGATCCTGGCCTTTGGTCCTGCTCGTTACTAGCTGAGAACAGGCATGAGCAGATGGTAGCGAGGCCAAGACGAAAACTTCCTGAAAAGGTAAAACTAGGCTGAAGAGGTCGTCGTAACGGGCAAGCAATGCCTTGTGACCCTTGTGATATTTTAGAGTGTTGTTAAGGTGGAAAGCAGGGGTTGGGAATGGTGCCAAGTCTATTACATTGATTCTTTGTATCTTCCGCAGCTTTCAAGCAGGTACCGTTGCTTTACAAAGACCTGAAAAGTTTCTCAATGCAGGGGTTGCAGGGTTATAGGCAGTAATGCGTCAAATTAGAAGGTGCCAGTCGTGGAGCATCTATCTACCCGATGGCTTAGCCCTTACAGTTTCAAGGGTTATGTAATAAGGATACAGATACTGCCAGTCCAGGTGGCATCATGGGCGGCATTTTGGTGCACAACTCCTTAAGAAGGCGCACCCCACTTTGCATTTATGAGCCTTTGGTAATTAGCATCAGTTTGACAGAGTCAAGAAGCCATAATGGATACAAAATTCCATGAAGAGGCAGTCTTGTTGGCATTGTAACCCTTGTGAGCATCCGTTATCAAGTCGTATTGCTTGTACAGAAGAACTTCCTGCTAATGTTAAGAATCGAGACCGGAAACTTTTTCTAATAGATGGATGCCCTGTCTGAGATGACTATTGCCTTCCACTAATCTCCATCGCCGCTATGACATGCTGCAGGTATCGGCGGAGCCGCTGACCCCTTGGCCTTATCCGGCTGGATGTTGGGTCAAACTACGACCTGAACAGTTAGTTGCCCGACGAAGAAAATCTGCTGCTGTTTCTCGCTTTTGGCATCACAAGCTGGTAAATTAGGAATTCATGCCCCCTGTAGTCCGGAGAAGGCCGTAATAAGGTGATAGCGCAAACCTTTGTGCCGTTTTCACTGGGCAGGTTTACAGCCTGGCCAGGACATGACGTGGGGTGCTACTATACAAATCTGGTGACTTCTTTTATGGGCGCTCATGGAAATGCCCAAGTCAAGTGCGACAAGCTGACTGTTTGGCCCATTCAGTGACTTATAAGACAGCCACAGCACGTAAGTTCAAAGGCCAAGGATAAGTCACAAACAATATTATAATGGCGCATACGATGAGAAAGCCATATGCTAATTACAGAGTGTAAATATGCTGGAGGCTACTGATGCCACTGATGAATTAAGGCTATTCAGAATACAGACTGGGCTGTGACGGAGTCAGCCGTGGCGTGGTCTGAACTGAGCAAAGGGAAGAAGAGGTACAAGTAGACTTGGGAGGTACATGAGGGGTTGATCCCATTTCTGGGTGCGCGAAAAGCAGCAAGAGGTTGCACGCCTGAGCATTGCCCGACATGGCAGGTGCTCGAAATGTCATGTTTGAGCCACCATTTCCGGAGGCGGCCTTGCCGTCTCTTATAATACTAATATTATGATATTAATTAAATTTAACTTTTTGCTGTTTTTTTTTTTAAAATTGGTATTAAAGTTTTTTTCTAAATTATTGTTAAACTTATTACCGTGTGTTTTAAATTTATTATTCGAATTCTCAAGTTATTAAAAAAAAGCCGTTATTTATTAGCTTAAAATCCGATTTAACGTGTAATTTTCACGTTTTCCACTTTTTTTTTAATTATATCAAAAAGCTATTGAAAATTTTAATTCTTTTTAACTTGTTTAGTAGTTTTCAATTTATTTTTACCGAGAGTTAATGGTCTTTTCTTAAGAAAATGACTTTTATTATCTTTTAATAGAATAATAAAATATTTGCTTATTATTGTTATCATTCTTATCACTTATCGCTATATTAAGTGATTTTATAATTAAAGTAGTTACATGTTAATAGTTTAAATTTTTTAAATGAAGAAATTCATTTTCAGCCTTTGTATAAAGTATAGCTTTTTATAATTAATAAGCTTTTTATTCCCAATAGCTAATAACTTCGTATTATTCTTATAATTATTTACGTTATTTATAATATTATAATATTTAATGTTTTTACAAAAAACAACGTAATGACCTTATATTATATAATTGATTTTATAAAGTTTAAAAGGTTCGTATTTAATTATCGCTTTCATAATTACGTAATAAATAAGGTTAATAATTATAATGCACATTTTTACGTTCATATAAAAAACTGTATTAATATATAGGTAATTTTTGAAAAATATTTAAAGTCTTATTATGTCGTATTGAAAAATGGTATTATATAAGATTTATATACGGAAGTATTAATAATACGTTCGTTCGTAATTTTATAACGTATTTAATTAACGTGGCGTTAAAACTACTTTAAATCCACTTAATCCGCGTATAAACCACTTATAGCCACACTATTAATATTACCCTATTAAATAAGAACAAATAATATTAACAAATATTTTATGCCGTAGCAAAACGACTTAAAAAGAAGGAAAATATACCTATAAACGATATAAAAAACGATATAAGACACGACATAAGACACGATATAATACACGATATAAGGAACCACAATGGGCACGATAAAAGGAACCACAGAGATTATTCCACCTAAGTAACGTTATATAGTGTACGTAGGCTTTTAAAACGCCTTTTAAGGAACCTTTCAAGGTACTTTCAAGGTACTTGAGAGCATTATCCGTGAAACGATAAGTGCAGTTTGAACGTGACAGCGTTGTTGTATTCAGGAAAGGGTCTATGGACTGTTTGTTGGTGGTAGAATACACTCATATGCCCTGTGGGTCCCTGTACGACCCGACAGCGTGGCTGATCCCCACATACCGCTTACGTATACAGATGGATACTGCTTACAGTACTGTTAAAAGTTCAGTTTAATACTACTAAGTCGATACCAAGGCTGAAGTTCCTTGCCAGACTGATTAAACTACTAAATATGTGTGTGCCATAACAGAAGATATCATCAAACCAATCTACACGTGAGAAGCAAAACAAAGAGGGCCGGCTACAAGCTACGACCGTCTCGGAACGGGCGACAACAGCTCGGGCTGTGTATGCGGCGAGTTCATCAAAAACCCCTTCTCGTCATACAAGCCCAGGCTCTCGAGACCCGCCCGTCCTTCCTCCTGGATCAGCTTCGAGGCATGCGTCACCGGTGGTCCCCCGGCATCCCGACCGAAGCCGTTCTTCGACGCATCGACATTACCGGCACTCCTCTCCTTCAGCACCTCCCGAGCCTTGTCCAGATCCTCCTCGAAACGCGGCCCCACCGTGCCCCTACGCGATCTTCTCATCACGCCTCTGCGTATGGGACTACCGCCTCCGGCACTGCTCTGCTCTGCACTATTAGACATTACCACGGCGTTACCCTTCAACTCGCCCCCCACACTCCTCCCTTTCGCCCGGCGCTCGGCACTACCTTCCACATCGCCCCCCGCGCCCCCTGGGCTCCCCAGCGCAAGGTACATCTTCCCGCCTCCGCTCCGCCTTCCCGGACTGCACCCGACGCCCCGCATCGCCGGCAGCGTGGGGCTCGGCATGTTGCCGAGCTCGGGCGTGTTGGCCGCGGTGCTGTAGCCGCTCACGCTGCTGATCTGGCTGTTCATGCGGCGCAGTTCCGCGACCGTGGTGGTGACGTTGCCCGTGTTGGTGCTAGTACCCATGTTCTTGGTGCCGTCGGTCCGGAGCTGCCCCACGGTGTCCACGTCTTGCGAGTAGCTAGACTCGTCAGATGCAGACGACGAGACACTGGCTATGCTGATATTGACCCTGTGGTGCGTCTCAGGCATCGACCGCGGGCGCTGCTGGAGGTCTGGCGCCGCGGCCAGGACAACTGTGCTTGTAGTCTCTGCGTGCGTTACACCCGCAGCCGAAGTCCGGAACTCGTAGCGCGACGACCGTCCAGACTCCTGCTCTTCCACTTCTTCACCACCCTTCGCAGGCGCCTCCTCGGCCGTTGGCACCGTCACCAGCGTCGCCGTGCTGTGATACACGCTTTCGCTCCTGCTGCTCCTCCCATCCTCGTTGCTGTTGTACTCGTAGCTGTCGTACAGAGACGACAGCCCGCTTCCGGTATCGGATGCCACGGGGCTGGGGCCGCGTTGTCGCGGTTGTTGGGCGGCCCCGAGCGTCGGGGAGCTTACCATGGCGCGCAGCGTCTGCGGCGGTGGGATCACGGTCTGTCGTTTGTTCTTGCGTGTTGGCGTGGGCGAGTCGGCGGTGGAGCCAGGTGAGGCTTTGGTCACGCGCACGATGGGGTACGGGTTCCCTGGGGATGATGATGTGTGCGCGGGCGAGGACTTGGGTCGGATTATTTCTTCGGCCGGTAGCTCGACTGGTGGTAGGGGGTGCAAGATGCGCGAGTGTCGTGGGGGAATCGGCGGCGGTGATGGGGAGGGCGTGAAGGCATCGTCTGCCGTCGCGTCCATGGCGTGGATGTTGAAGGAGAGTGTGGTCTTTGGCGGTAACGGCCTATGCAAATTTCCACCATCATTACGGCCTTGGCGCGGCTGAGGTCGTGGAATGGCATGAGACAAAGTCATCTGCCCCATCGTACCCTTCCTGACGCGCAGAGGACTGGGACTCGCGCCTGGGGGCGTTGGACTTAGCTCATACGCTTTCGTGTTTTGCATCATTATCTGGTGCGACGCAGGTTCGGCGAAGACGTCGTATACAGAAATCGCCCACGTCCGCGATCTCCTGTGCATGTCGGTCGGCTTGGGGGTCGCGTCCAGCTTCGGATCGTTGACGGGTGGGCTCTGCATCGACGCTTCCTCCTCGCTGTACAGCGTCGACAGCGCGGATGAGTCCGAACTACCGGTCGAGTACGGGCGGGCAGGTGCCGCTGCCAATGCCGATGGTCGCTGTTGCTGTTGTTGCAGTGGCTGGGCCGGAGATGGCCTCGCGCGGCTTGGACTCGACAGTGCGGTGTTCACCCCTTCTGGCTGCGATACCCTCTTAGGTGCCACGAAGCTGTCGGGCTCGGAGAGCATAGAGACGGCCGACGCGTGCGAGACATCCCTGACATGGCGCGACTTCTTCCCTGAGGAGGTCCGCAGCGGAATGTGAGGATCAGTCCTCATATGCCGCTGCGGACTGCAGCCTTCGAGTTCCGAACACGCGGGTACCGCCACGGACGCGCTCTTCTGGCTTTTGGATCGGCTGGGGGTGATGTCGCGTCCGCCGTTGTCCATGGCATTTCCCTTGGCTGCTCCCTCCGCATCTCGCAGCCGTTCATCCCCCATCAAATTTCCAAAAGACGCAGAAGTAGCTGGCAACATCATAGTCTGGCTCCGTCCCCTGCGTCCCCCATCCTGCAGCCTCTCAGTCGTCCGCCGCAATATCGCCTGTAGCTCCGCGTCCGTGTTGCTCTGCTTGAACCTAGGACGCTGCTGCCTCTGACCAACCGGCTGAGGGACCCGTGCCACGCCCGCCAGCTGCTGCGCCGCATCGAGCGCAATGCTGTTGTTCCGCTGATGTACCCCCTGTACCACCCGCGTCGGCGACACGTTCTGCCCGTCCGCCTCACCCGTAAAATTATACGCCTTCCGTGGACTGCCCGTACTAACACTAAGACTGCCTGCTGGGATCTGGTACTGGTGCAGCGGCGGCCTTGGCTGCGGCTGCGGGCTCATCACCATCTCGACGATCTCGCCCTGGTAGCTGTGCGCGCGCCTCCCGCCGTCGTAGCTCGGCCGCGTCGCCGGCGTCCGGCCCACCACCGCCGCGCCCCCGTCCTCGTGGAACTCGAAGTCGAATAAGTCGATCCCGAGCTGCTCAAACCCGCGGCCGCGCCCCGTCTCCGTGCACGGCAGCGTCGGGCTGCCGGCTAGTAGCTCGCTTGTGCCGCCCCGGCTGCGCAGCGACAGGCGGCGGCTCAGCGAGCGCCGGATCCCTCCCACGCCCATGCCCATCCCGAGACCCAAGCTCGGCTTCCGCCTGCGCGACCGTCTCTTGTGCGGCGACGCCGACGACGACGACGATGACGACACGCGCGGGCCATGCAGCGCATCCTCGTCGATCCACGACGTCTTGCGCCGGTTCTCGGCGAGGAGGTGGCAGCGCTGCTTATCAGGGGACCGCTGCTGTTCAGTACTCGTCCTAGCGTTGTTCGAAGCAGAACCCGAACCCGAACCCAAACCCGAGCGCGAGACCAGGCCGTGGTTGGCGCTGGCGAAGCTGTCGCTCAGGTTGAAACTGCCGAGCCGCGAGAGCACGGGCGGGAGGACGGGCAGGCTGGTGTGCTTCGCGCTATCCCTTTCCCTTTCTCTTTCTCTTTCCTGTAGGTGTGTGTTCTGGTCGTGGTCGTGGCCATAACCGTGACCCTGACCGCTACCGTGACCGTGATTTGTGCTGGTGCTGGTACTCCCGACGGCCTGCAACACAGTCCCCGTCGTGGTGTCAAAGGCGTTGTGCTCGATTGCTACGCTCTTTTTACGCAGGCGCCGGTGGCCTTGGTCGTCTTCCACTACACCCGGGCCTCCTCCTGCTCCTCCCCCAGACCTTCCTCCTCCTGCTCGCCCATCGCTCCCTCCTCCTGCTCGCCCATCGCTCCCTCCTCCTCCTATAAGTCCCGACTCCGAGTCCCTCCCCTGCTGCCCGTGAGCATGAGCAAGAGGGCGTTCCTCGTCCGCATAAGCAGCAGCAGCAGTAGTACTTGTAGTAGCAGGAACCACGCTCGACACTGGAATTTCTGTTGTGGCCGCCGTTGTTGCTGTTGTGGCCGCGTGCCGCCGGTCCTGCCACTGCGCCAGCCGGATCAGCGCGAACGCGAGGCCCGTGAACAGCACGACGGCACTGGCGATGGCGATGCCAATCATGGCGCCCGTAGACAGGGTGGTCGTACTGGTGGAGACATCGTCACCATAGGAGGAAGGCGAGATGCCGGCCGGGGTCGAGCGCGCGATGTTGTGGATGAGCGTGCTGAGGATGGACGTCGCTGCCTTGGACCAGGAGTTCGGACTTGGGTTTGCGTTTGAATTTGGTCCCGGGTTGCGAGCTTGGATGTAGGCGCTGGCGAGCTTGGGCATCGTGGGCGCTCCGGCTGGCTGGTAGATGCACCAGCTGTGGATTTGCTATAGGGGGTTGGGTCCGTCCCGGAGTATATCAATACATGAAGGTAGGTAGAGATAGTAAGTTGGAGCCCGCTCGAGGGGTGGCACTCAAACGCTGCCAGAAAAACCGCAAGCTGTGGACTCGATTGCTACCAGAATTGTAAGGTGATGTACCATGTAGCGGAAAGTAAAGCTTCAACCGCATAGACGCTGCATGCAACAGAAGAGCACTAAACCAACAAGAATTACATTGCAACAGACAAGAAAGACGAGAGACCAGAGGAAAAAAAGAATCGACGGCCCGACCCCGAGTCCTCGAGATGTACGTAAACAATTTCGAAATGCAGTCCTGCTGAGCCGGATGGAATGCGTCACCATGGGGGAAACGGACATGTTGCATTCCAAGCACACACCACCGCCAGCCAGCTTCTGAAACAAAAGGAGGTTGGCAAGAACATCCTTATGGTTCTAGTCAAGAGTAAAGGACAAGATAACATTCGTACGGGCGCCAAATGAGATTAGGTCTTATCATGACACGCAGGCCAGGGATGGGTTATCGTTGCAAGGGATGGACATGTCACGTTCAATGGACAGCGCTGTGTTGGGTTCATTTTGTTTTCAGATTGCTCTTCAGTAGGTAGTGTAGAGGAAATCTCTTGCCGGAAGAGACGTCTGCCTACCCATGCAGTATGTCCCAGAAAAGGAGTCAAACCAGCCGGTCACTCATAAAACGCCTACAGCAGACCCATATGCAATATCATTCCCTGGCGATACCCGCCTCTGCAATGTATCATGGGGGCAGCCATGTTTTGTCTCTGATCAAATGCCATGCTGTAATGGCCTCTCTGGTTCACGTCATATGATTGTGCTCTTCCCAAGAGACCCAAAATGAAGCGACATGTACGAAAAGGTTCCTGGGTGAATCAAATCAACCATAGGCAACATCTGATGCGATATCCACCCGATGCGTTTTCTTAGAGTATTTCCACCGAAAGGGAATGGTGAATGAGCAGTGTCGAGCGCTGACAATGGTCGCTTACTGCCCACGACCATGGCGGTGTCGCCAAGCGTGGTCGCGACGCCGCTTCTGCTCCTGCGACGAAACAGTCACAGTCGTGACAGTATCCTCTGTGACATAGACGATCGGCTCCTTCCAGACAATCTCTTCCACTTGGACACCGGTCGTGACTGTCTGGGTGCTGACCACTTCGTAGGAGACACCGGGCTCGGATGCGACAACCGGAGCTACAGTAGTCGCTGGGGCAATTGCAGTGCTCGAGCTCGAAGACGAAGACGAAGTGGCAAGAACGTTGACATCGTCAGCAGAAGACTCAGAAGTCTCGAGGAAAGCACCGCCCATAGGTGCAGTGGAGGAGGAAGCCGCAGGGGAATAGGTGAGCGTTGGGGCACTGTATTTAGATGTGGTCGAGTCGCTGGTAATGCGTGCAGTCGGGTACGAGTCTGAGTCACCAGGTGGGGTGGCAGATTCCGGACCAGCCTGCACTTGGACGCCGCCAGGAAGCTCCTTCATGTCAGTTGCAGCACAGTTCTCCTTGGCAAGAAGCTGGGGCACGTCGAATTTGCACTGTCTCATCTCGTCTTCCGACTTAAGGGGTGCCTTGTTCGTGAAAACGGGGCAGTCACTTAGTAAGCCAGAGTCGTTGGTGCACTCGTCGAGAGCCTGTTGGAGGAACTCGGGATCCCAGCCAGCCATGAAGTCCCCATGGTAGCCAAAACCTGGCGCGAATGTCAGATTCATGATGCCAAAGTGGAGGGAATCATTCCAAAACTTACCAGTGGGGTCGCCGTTGGAGATAACGAACTCTCCGTTACTGCCGAAAGCGCTGTCTGCAGTAGCCCAGATGGTTTCGTAGAAGAGAGTGACCAGACGCTGTGTGTGGGTGTCGGGACAGTTGCCGTTGCCGACCAAGTCGGGGAACGCAACATGGCTCTTGTGATCAGCACTGGTGGTCTCACCGTTCCAGCACGAAGGGAACATGAGTTCGAGTCTCAGGCCATCCGGGCAATTGGCATCGAGGTACTCCTTGTCGGGCATGTAGTGACGGAAGAGAGAGGCCTCTGGGTCCTTCTTGTAGTTCAAGCAATTGAAACCAAGCGCGCGCTGTGCCAGATCGTCCTGACCTGTCTGCTTGAGCATAGCCCAGTTGGACTGGGGAGGATCAGGGGAGGCTGGGTCTCCGACGGTGTAGTCGCGACGGTAGTTGCTTCCTGAGATCATCTGAAACCCGGCAGGGAAGGCCGTGACGTTGTCACCGCGCTGCAGATAATAGCTGTAGTGTGTTTAGCGCATGCATCATCAAAAATAGAGAAAACACTAGTGCTGCGGAAGGGTTGACATCTCTGCTGGGGGTGGGTCATACAACCAGATTGGTGGAGGGCAAACATTGGGCCGGGAAATCACGAGCTAACAGCAACAAGATGTGATATGCTCATCCCAAATAATGCTGCACGAAATGGGCATTTTATGAAGGGAAGAGGGAACCAGAACTTACGCAAGCATACCACCAACCTGCTGGACGATGGAGAACTCGTCGGTATCGTAATCATGCCAATAGAGCGCAGGAGTCCAGTAAGCAGACAAGTCGTCCTCAACAGCACATGAAGTACACTGTCCGTTTCGGAGGTCGTCGAAGGTCGCGCTCAGCGAGAAGCCTGTTTGTCCTTAGCCACAAGATTCCAAGATACCGAGGTGCACATGGCGCGCGGTGCAAGAGGCATGCGTCTACAGGCATAGCGGGTGCGACACTTACCGGAGGAGCCATGAACGGTGTGCACATGGCCACTAACAGTGCCAGCATCCATGATCGGATCCATTCTGGCGAGGCCAGTTGAACCGCGGCACTCCATGCGGAAGAAGGCATCGACAGAGGACGCACCCAGCAGGGCGAGAGCGGTGGCAGACTTGAAAGCCATCTTGTCAGGTACTGTTGACGGTTGGCGAGATGAGGTGTTCTTGTTGCAGATCGTCGAGACTGCTGTTCTCCGTAGGATTTGCCGAAGTGTGCGGTGTTGTGGAAGAGGAGATGGATTGGATGGTATCGGCGAGTGAATGTGGGGTGGAGAGATGCGCCGACGAGGTTTGGGTCGCGGAAGCTGTCAACAAACTCGATGCCTGAGGCTGGCAAAAATTCCAAGCAATGTGTGGTCCCGCCTGCTGTGTTCAAAGACTGGCCCGGGTTAATTCACTTCGGTCAAATGTCCAGATGACTCGATGTGTGTGTTGCGTGATGAGTTGCACCGCCGCAGCGTATCGATCAGTTGAGCCGTCAAGGTGGGATCGAGTTATGTTGTTTGTGTAAATGTGCAGCCACGGCCACCTGACTGACAGTCGTACTTGTTTGTTCTTCAGAACCCAATGAGTTCCTTCAGGCGATTGTCCTCCAATCACTCCAGCTGTGATTCCACTGCCTCTGCTGGCCAACCTGTCGCAATATCCTCTTGATGTTCTTTTTCTCTCTTAGTTCCTTTCAAAGGCAGACTACGATGCACGTCTACCGCCGTTGGTCCCTGCGTTGCAAGTCCTTTTCCAAATAATACCTGCGGAAATAACAGGCCTGTTGACCTTTCAAAGATCTCGTAGTGAACTTGCAAGCCGCAACGTTCCGTGCGTCGCGATGTATTGCGATATCAATCGTCAAACAAGAGATATGTTCGAGTTGCGGTAGCGGGGGGTGTCCACATCAAGACAGCTTGGAATGCGAGATGTGTTTCAGAGCTGACAGTAGTACTGTGTGTACTGGGTGTCAGATATCAGAGGTTCTTGCCTGCTACCAGCCTCTTAAGGAGGGAATACCGAATGGAGGCTTCGGGGGCTTAGTGAAGAGTCGAAACGAATGCGATCAACACAAGTAGTGAAGGAACGTAAAGGCCAGCGGTTGACGACGGGTGACGGGTGACGGGTGTCAGAGTCGATGGTCACGAGTTGGCGTTAAGGAACGTGGCGACAGTGAGACTGTCAGGTCGGGTAGTGAGTGACTGGGTGGAATGTGGCAGAGACCGTTGGTGAGAGGGAGGAGGGTGAAAGAGGAGAGCAAGAGAGAGGAACACGGTGAGGGATGGTGGTGGTGAAGTGGGAAAAGGCGGCTGGGACTACGGTACGGTACCTACTAAACGGGCCTGATTGGGAAGGGGTATTGGCATCGCACTGTACTCCTGCACAATACGATACATGACCGGCAATCACTGTCTGCGTCTATCTTCATGTCGCCCCTGGTAGACACAGTGTTGGTCACTGTCAAAGGTGGGGATGGTTCATGAGAGCACAACTGGGCAGACTGCGACTTCCCTGCGCCAACAGTTCAGGAGGTTGAACACCTGCATGGAACGTTGAACGGACCCCAGCGAGTGACAAGGGCCGGGAGTGGACAGGCTGAACAGGGTCCGAGCCAAGCTTTACAAGAAAGCCACTAAAGATATGGGGGTTTCGTCATCCACTCAATCTACATCAAGCCAATCACCAACCAACAAGCATCCAGGCATCAAACTTGGTCGCACCATCACAAGGCAATCGCTGAGTAAAAATGGCTTGCATTTCCTGTCCAAACTGCAACCTCTACCTTTTCAAGACCTATATGGTTGTTGGGGCTTAGGACCATTTACGCCAAAAGGGCGGGAGTCGATGGGAACACTGCACAATTGGACAATCGGAAACCTGGGCGAGTGGCCCGCCCTGGCGATCCCTGCAGGTGGGTGATCCCTATCTTCGCAACCCATGGGGCCTGCGGTATTAGTAAATGAAGGCCTGCACTCAAGCAGGTGCCTCCATGCAGTGATTGGCCCATGCCGTGTGACAGGTACCCTCCAACTTCTCATCTCGGCGCCCAAACTCTTTGCTCAGTGCATGTACCGTGTACCTCGTGGTCCCAAAGCCCTGCCGTTGGGAGGTGGCGTAATGAGCCACCGATGACGGTTTCTCCTGATAATCGCTGCGCGCCCGGCATGAGAGCCCGATTCGGTTCCCGCGCTGTGAGCCTGTGAATGATTCAGGATTTCTCACCGTTCCATTTACAGTAAGCTTCCCACTACTGCCAGGGCCCGTTCAACCGTCAACGGCTTACCGCCCGACCAGTGACCTGATTTGGGTACTTTTAAGAAGGGCTGAAAATAGCAATTGCCAATTTGCATGACAGCTGACTTTCTTGGATTCTAGGTAGGAGTTGGAATCAGGGTTACATATCGTGAGGCAGTCACAGGAAGGCACCGGCTGTGACCAGCCAGCCAGCCGGCAGAAAAAGATAGAGGGAGATAGCGCCGGCGGCCCATCCAAAGTCGATCACAAGTTGCGGTGGGGTTTGTTTGCCGGTCCGTGGCTCTGGTACAGTACGTGCGGTGAACTCCGTCAAGCAGTGCTTCCGCTTCCGGCTTGCTTGTGATGGTGAAGCCGGCGCTGATTCTCTACTCTACCGTCGCCGGTGTTCTGATATTCTGGTGTTCCATCCAGCCTCTATTCATCCCAATCTCTGGAGCAGGTGAGATTCTGGAAGATGCAGTTTGTCTCACTGTCATCTCTCCGAGATGTCTTCTATTCGCGCAGCTTCTGCCAGCTCACCCTACATAACCGTGTGTCTGTGTAGGTGTGAGTGGCCGTGTAACCTGTGATGGCTTTCTGTGATGCTGAACGCTGCGTTCTCACAAATTCCATTCGCACCTTCGTGAAACCCATGTTGCCGTTTGTGGTGGCCCTTGATGGAATGCGACGGCGTGTTATCTCATGCAGTGGCGCGTGTGAGGTGCTGTTTTATTTGTTCTTAGTGATTTCAATTCGATGCTCGTGTTGCCCTAGGTAGTTTGAGATATGCCAACCCGGCCTTCTTTTTCTGGTCAGTGGTGTTTCTGTACTTCTTTGCAGCTTTGAGCGCAGTCAAATTGGAAGGATTACCGCAAGACTGACGCAAACGAGGTTAAACGGATGGGATCATTAATACGGGCTTGGAGGGGCCACGCGGCAATGGAGGGGCCGTGATTGTGACCTACGAGACCCCTGAAATTCCAGGGCACACGGGGCTAAACGTCCCGCTTCGCCGGTGTCGTTTCAGGCTTCTTCTGTCAGCGGTTGACATTGGCCAATCGGACGTCGCCAACGCGGCCGATGATTGCTGTGTTGGGAAACAACCTTGGGTGGCAGGGCCACCCACGCCTATACTATACAACAAATCCTTCCTCTTCCCGAGACGGGGACTTTCGATCTCAGGCGCCGTCTCTTTTCACCCTGGCAAGTGTTGGTGAGATCGTTGACCGGCTCGATATGCGACTCCTTCAGGAGCGCCAATGCCTCGAGTTGATGAGCTGAGTGCGACCAACAAATAAGCTGACACACCGACACACATACTAGCATGCCTGCTTCGTACGTGTACGCCGGTTGGACAGAAGGCAGATGCGCAAACAGTCCGAGCACAGCGGTTCATCTCGGTCAAAAATGCTGCGCGACCCTGACACGACTGACCAGCAAATATCGTAGAACCAACAGTTACAGAGGACAATGCGCACGCCTATCGGCAAGGGTTGTCCGTCTATTACGCAGCACCGTATCTCCCTTAGAAAACATGACGAAATGATCCACAGATCGGAAAGTGGGATAATCGCAGCCTGATCCTGTAGTTGCCGGAATCGGCTAGTCGCTCAGTAGATCCCGTATCGATCGGGACGTCGGGATGGTCAGCTCGTGAGTCGTAGCTGCTATCATCCTGCCTATCATCCGGATCCCAAGACCAATGCGAGAGGCACAGAGACCCGTTTCCCCAAGCAAACCTGGTCAACCCCAAACGGTTCCTGTATGATCGTCGAGCTTCGCCCCGTCCGGAAAGAAAAGAGACGAACGTCTGCTCAAGACAGTCTGAGCGCGCGACATGGCAATATCTGACGAATCGTTATGTAGGAATGTTGAGAGAGCATGCGCAATGCAGGTGCAGGCAATCAACCTCGCAGACACCAGTGCATAATCTGCATTTGTGTCTTCGTTCAGCCTCCCCGCCACCTGCAGCGACTGGAATGTCGGAAGTTGCTTACACCACATGCATGCACCCACGTGAGCAACGCCAGCCTCGTTCACCATTGTATTGAACGACATGAGGTCGAGGTCTAAGACCATCCCACTTCCGGGGTTGCCACACATAGACTAGCAGTCCATCGTGACCGGGACATGGGTGGTTCCGTCTCAACCCTCGAGCTGTTCGATACATATTACTAACTTTAGGTTAAACACACAGCTCGTGTCAGGTGTCAACTACTAGTCGACAGAACCTAGCAAGCAGCTGTGAGTGTTTTCCGTTGTCACTCAGCATGCTTTATGCCTCGCGCCAGTTCTCTCGTATTGGGAATTTTGGAGCGGCAGTAATCGTTGAAACATTGCGAGATCCCTGGATTCCGAGTAACGGCCAAATCACTCATGCGAAGCCCGCGTGCTACCAAGTACAACCCAACCCACCTTCACATCCATAGGGACTCTCGGCGGTCAAAGACGGTATATAGAGCGAATCCCTTTTTATAAGCAGGCTGCCTGAGATGCAAATGCAAGGGGATGAGACCGCGAAGGCTGCTGCTATGCAGCCTCCTTTCCGCAAGTACTCGACGACGGAAGAGACGGCGATATTGCCTGATCATCAATGGGCTCTGAGTACCTCAATTAAGCTGTCCTGAATCGAATATACCGTGGTCTGCCCATTATCCAATTCATAAAAGCCATCGCGACCGCAACCTGATTTGGTTCAAGGTCCTGCAGAATCAGCCCAAATAGTCTTCCAACACAGCGGTGGTCGAGAGCCGTGCCACCAGATACTTCTAAGTAGCGCATTTCAATTGGGTATTTTCGTGCCCGATGTTGGATATTGATCATGTCCCAATAATTACCTGATATGGCGGTGTTTTATGCCATTTGGAATAGAATTTTTTTGGACACGTGACGATGGTATACACGAGAAAATAGGCCATTGAATGGGCGTTTTCGAGGGGCGCACTCGCTTTTCCCGACTTCGACCTCCCTCAACTGACCTGGAGGGACGAAGTGAGCCGTATTGTTGGCGCTCGGGAACTCCAGATATCATCTGCGAAGTTCGAATTGACCATCTTGGCTCCTCTACAAAAAGCCTCGATCATGGGGACGGGTTTCGGAACGGCTCTATCGTCATAATGAACTCACACGATGGAAGTATCTCTCGAACATGATGCAGACTTACGAAGGTGCTGCCACCAGGTAGGTATGAAACCACATAGCATGCTGGGTTACTCGAGGGATATCCGCACAGTCTATCGCCCGTTCAAGCTGTTGCTTGTCGGCGACGCCATCTAATGGCTATGACCCCAGCACCTGGCTTAAAGCGCTCCCATCTCCTTCATTGACCCACCACTTCATCAAGTACGCCACTGCTTCTTTCTGGTCCGCGGGCGAGGTATGACCAGCTTCGTCAACAGACGCGAAGACAAGTTCGCGCTTGTCGTCAGGCCCTTTGAACTCGCCGCCCTTGTGTCGTTTACCTGACCGATCAGGCCAGCTCCACGTCACATAAGGCTCCATCCGGTACTTGGCCTGGTGGTTCCAGGGCTGCTGGTTATAGACACGCTTCTGTCCCTCCGTAGACCTTTTTTCCCCTTGAAGTCAGCTCGGATGTCAACCCGGTCTTGAGGATGGGTCCACTTACACGACGATGTCGTTGTTCCCGTTGAGGACGAACACGCGCGTAGGCGTCTCGTCGAGGATGTACGTGAGCTCCCGCGTCGTGGGCAGGAATATCTCATTACTCGCTGTCCATCGGCTGTTGAGGTCGTAGTTGACCGAGGAGAAGTTCCAGTGGTCGAGGCCGAGTGCGTCCTGGACGTGCGCCGTGTTCAGATACTGTTGTTCATAGCTGCCGATGCCGCACAGGGGTAGAGTGCCGTTGCAAAGAATGCGGTCGTCATAAGGATTCCGACCACCCGGTTTCGGGTCAATGGATGATACGATCTCTTCTGCGCAGAATATGTATGCCGCTCGGCAGATATTGCCATCGTAGGTGTCAAGACACTGGCGATTCAAGCGCTCGCATTCCGGTACGGCCGGCTCAAACACGGCACACGTTTCCTTGCTGAACCCGAACTTCTTCTTGTTCTCTCCGTTCTCGAACTGGCACATGTGGTCGTATTGGCCGAGGGCCCCGGATCCCAAGATGTCAATCACAGCGTCGACGAGGGTTATAGAGTGGATCGTGCCGTTGAAAGTCCCCGGCACCCCGAGCTGCTGTCGTCTGCTGATATACTCCACGAATCCAGGGACGTAGGTCCCTCCGAAGCTCTCGCCCGCGATGTGCAGAGGTAACTGCGAGAATCCCGGGAAGACCTCTTCGAAGAAGACGGACAGGAACTTGTTGAAGTCTTGTGATGCCTCTCTCAGGTTGTCCGGCCCACCCATAGTATCATTGTTGACCATGGAGAACCCTACACTGGCAGGTTGGCTGACAGGTGTTAGCGAATGCGCATATCCTGACCGCTAAAATCACTCACTCGATGAAGATGACATTGGCGAACTCTGTCCAGCTGTGTTCGTTGAACTTGGTACCGTTCTGGTATTCGTTCGTCAGGCAAGGCCCTATCTCCTGGAATAAACCCATCATGGATGAGCCACCGGGACCACTAGCATTTCGTCAGCCGGGTGAATTGTCACGGGCGAGGTCCTTGGGCACTCGTACCCGTTCAGCCAGATCATCACAGGGTCATTTAAGGGGTTACTCCGGCTTTCAAAGAACCCTGTAGAGCTTGTCAGCAACATGTGTCCTGTAGTTTGGGCCAGTGAGTTTATGTGCACAGTAGAAGAGGCTCTTTTCCTCGGTCACATGAATCCATCCAGTCCATTGACGACTGCCCGCGTCGCAAACAGTTTCATTCTGCTCCCGTACAATGTATTGCCGCGACGATTGCCCCGAATACATCGGCTTCTGTTGGTCCAAAGAAGACACTCCATCGCCTCTAGGCAGAGCTGGCAGTAATGGTTGCTTGTAGAGGAGACTGTTCAACTTCGGCGTTACCAGCTGTCCTACAACGCCTGTTACGGCGATTGCAGCCAGCAGGAAGTGAGATCGCATGACCGTATTTTCGAGGGATCAGCTTGGGTCTTGGTAGTCACTATATTAACTTGGGAACAACATGAAGAATATGGAGGTTAGGAGTCAAGAAGCGGCTTGGAGGTTTCGCTATAGAGGATGTGGGGTAGCTGCCCGCGGCTTATATCCAGTACTTGTGTTAGGCGCCAAGCCGGGCTTCATCTGTACTGCCATGCACCTGCATATACCTTAGCCATTTCCCCTGCCACAAACTCCAAGCACCGAGGTCAATTCCGGTAGTATTAGATCGAATTCCTATCTTTGCACTCGATTGATCAGGCGACGCAGTTCGAGTTGATGCGAGTTGCTAGAACCCTTGTCTCCACAGCGCAGATACTGGAAAGGTGATGCAACCTGAATTCGAAGAGTTGGCCTGGCCTGCCAGGCCGCCGTTTGCTACCCCTTGATCTCGTGTCGAAGCTGGTTGTTTCGGAAAAGGGGCTGACTTTGGGCGATGCACAGCCACGACTGGGGTTTTATCCAAGCCACACGTGGAATACTGAGCTAGTCCAGCCACACCCTTTCGTGTCGTCTCCTGGCGGGTCAATTGTCTCCAAAGCGCAACAATACAAGCAGACGAACCATTGACAACCGACCAGTATTCCCTATGCGAATTCAGCCATGCGAGTGCTTTGACATGACGAAACACGTTCTTTGAACACACGATGGATGATCTCTCCAGCCTCGACTGGTCCTCGACTAGCTCTGGGAAGGGCACCAAGCCTCAGCCCATGAACCCCATGAAACCCATGAAACCCATGAATCCACCCTCCTTCTATCCAACCTTGCGCCCGACCCCGTCTCCTCAACCGTCCGGTCGATCAACACCGCTCTCGACCCAAGCTTCCGGCCTGGCCGCTCCGAAGTCCAACACCCCGAAACCTGCGAACGACAGCTTCAGCAACCTCGTGAGCTTCGGCGGCGCGAAAAGTAGCGCCAATTTGAGTCTCCGAGAACGGCAAGAACAGCTCGCGGCAGAGAAGCGCCAGAGGGAGGAGGAGCAGAGGAGGAAACTACAATCACAATATGGCGGTGGACAGTTCTGGGACAACATCGGTCAAGGTTCTGCGAATGCTTCGCGGACTGTCTCGCCTGCTGCTCCATCCTTTGGTGGCGGCGGACTAGGGGCTCAAAACGGACTTAAGAAGGACGATGACGACCTCTTCGCGGCCTTCAACAAAGATACGGTGGTTGATAATGCCAGTCATTACCCTCCACCGGCGCAGCCTCTGTCCGGAAAGAGCACTCCAGCAAGTGCCACCCCCCTCGACCTAAGTAATGCGAGTGCATGGAACAAGCCTGCAGTCTCTAATGGTGGCGAGTTTAACGACGACGACGACCCCTTTGGTCTAAACCAACTGAAACCTCAGTCGAAACCACAACGGCAAGCCACAATTGAGTCTCAGGAAGATGATGATTTCCTTGGGGACCTTGGCAAACCTGTTGAAGAGGTCCGGCGCAAAGCCCAAGTGGCACGGCCTAGAGCAGAACCAGGCAGGCCCATCGAAGGGTCCGACTCGGAATCTGAGCCCAAGGCTCCCTCAAGGCGCGGCGGCAGCTCCGATCCTTTCGACAAAGCGGTGGCCGAATTGGTCGACATGGGATTCGACACGGAGAAGGCGCGGCGGGGCTTGACGGAGAGCGGAGCTGGGCTTAACGTTCAGGCAGCGGTAGGCTGGCTCTTAGATGATGCGCACAAGCAAGCTCGAAACACGCATGGACCCAGAGATTCCCCTGCTGAACGCACTAGAAGGGAGGATAGTGGCTCCAGGAACAATGGTAGCTCCGGACGGGCAAGGGATGACGAAGCTGGGCGCATGCCTCCGCGGAGGGACACCCAATCACCCGCATCGGGAGACGACTTCTCGAAAAAGGCTGCTTCAGTGGGAAACAGCCTTTTCAAGACTGCCAATTCGTTGTGGAAAACTGGTCAGAAGCAGGTTCAGAAAGCCGTCGCAGACTTCCAACAGGAGGGCGGTGACCCCAACCAGCCGAAATGGATGCGTGCCGCACAGCAAGAGAGAGCACAACTTGCAAGGGGTGAGACGAAGACCGGAACCGACGAAGCTATGATGCTAGAATCTGGTATGCGGCCCGAGAAGCCATCCTCTCGACCGACACAGGACCGGCGTCATCCTTCTCGCGATCAGTCCCCTGCTCTGCCTTCGCGATCTTCCGCTCAATCTTCAGTGACTCCACGGTGGCAGCAACCGGCAACGTCGGGTCTGGCTGACCCTCGAGTAAGGCTGAGCAAGCAGGCTATCGAGCAACAAAGCGCGGAGGCATATGTCAGTCCCGCGAGGAGGAAGAAAGCTACACCGCAGCCATCGCCTCAACCTAAGCCAGAAGCAGATCTTCTCTTCAACACCTCGGCTCCGCAACCTTCCCAGCTAAAGCCTCAGCGATCGACTCAACCATCCCCTTCTACAGCCAAGCCACCTCCGCAAGTTGTTTCGCGGCCCATTACCACTCGGCCACCTCCACCTACTAGGAAAATACCCACTGTCTCATCAACAGTCCTTCAGGCTTCCTCCAAGCATCGCCTTGATGGGACTGCTCATTTCAAGCGCGGAGACTATGACGCGGCGCACACAGCGTATTCGAACTCTTTGTCCGGCATACCGCAGAGCCACCCAATTTGCATTGTGATTCTTACCAATCGCGCGCTTACTGCGTTGAAGACCGGCAATCCTAAACAGGCTGTCGGGGATGCAGATGCCGCGATTGGTATTATTGGACTTTCTTGCGGCGAAGGCGAAAAGGTGTCGTTACCAGATGGGGACGTACGGGACATGAAGGATCTCTACGGTAAAGCACTCAGTCGCAAAGCGGAAGCGCTCGAGCAGATGGAGAAGTGGGCTGATGCCGGCAGTGTGTGGCAGCAATGCGTCGAAGCTGGTGTTGGAGGCGCCAGTGCCATCGCCGGCCGGCAGCGATGCCAGAAGGCGCTTGCCCCGAAACTCAAAGCAGCACCGAGGCCGGCTCAGCCGCCGAAAGCGCGGCCAAAGCCCTCCGCTGTGTCAGACTTCGCGCCGCAGAAAAGCTCAGAAGCCGTACAGCGGCTCAGAGAGGCGAACAAAGCGGCCGAAGCAGCCGACGATGAGAAGTTCGCGCTTGGCGAGAAAGTCGATGCTCGAATCTCGGCATGGCGGGATGGCAAAAGAGATAACCTACGGGCACTGCTGGGAAGTATGGATCAAGTGCTGTGGGAGGGCAGCGGCTGGAAGAAGATCGGCTTACATGAATTGGTGATGGCGAATAAGGTCAAGATACACTATATGAAGGCCATAGCAAAGTGTCATCCGGACAAGGTAAGCTTTGGCGTCCACCACGCCCATGAAATAAATCTGTTACCACAATCGCTAATGCCAAAACCAGCTTCCCCAAGATGCCAGCACAGAGGTACGGCTTATCGCGGCTACGGTATTCGCGACGCTCAATGAGAGCTGGGACAAGTTCAAAGAGGACAACAAGTTATGATGGAACCACTTACAGCATCAGGATCAGAACGAAGATATGTGAGACGCATCAAATGACATAGAAATGAGATCACGACTTCATTGGCAAGATATACATATGCAGACATCCGGCCCTAGTAGTCGGACTCGTGTGCTTATGTCAAGTGCGGTATCGTTACTAACACATGGCAATGGGCTCAAATGCAGTTGACTTGTCACTTTGAACGATGCTTGGTGGGTGAAGATGGTAGCGTACTCATTATTCTCTGGTGCCGTCTGACTAGATCATCTGAAGCAATCAACTACTCTTAGCTAGTCGGCAGCCCCAAAGAAGAATTCAAGGATACTGCGTGCGATTCAGGGGTGCGGCATTCTTCACGTAGCCAATCCTGTTGTCAAGCTTCGTATCTCTACCATCAGGGACAACAGGCCCGTACTCCGGGTGAACAAGTAGCCCAGGCGTGAAAGGGCCGACCTTGGCCTGTTCCATTCCGCCCCTCAAGCTGTCCCAGCTCTTGCACTCATGGGCGATGGTCCGCCGCCTGGCAGGATGCTCTCGTCAAACCAGATCATGGTGAAAGGCGTCTCGTCCGCCTTGCACATCGTCACTTCGACGAGCAGTGTACCATGCGCATTGTGTCAGTCGAGACTGGGCATCATGGAAGTTAACTTATACTCACGACTGTGCTCCAATTGCAGCTCCTTTTCTTCCTCGGTCATGTCTGGCTAGTAGTAATCTGGGAAGTATGACTGGTGGAGTCGTTTCTGTGCACTCGAATGGTTACGCTGTGTTTCATTTTACGACCGGGAATATCTACTCACCAAGCAGTACAATTGGTGGATGAAGGAATAGTTCGCCAGGTAGTTGCCGTTGGGCAGGCGGATGCTGTCTCTCTCGCGATCGAGGGACTGGATGTACTCCTTCGGCACCTCGGCGTAGAAGTACTGCATGATGGAGCTCCAGCTGGCATCGAGCTCGTCGCTCGGTATACCAACGAGATTGTAGTCCTTCGACGTCTCTGTGTTGCCAAAGAACGTTGGTTTCATATTTGATGTGTTTCGTATGGGTGCTGTGGGCAGAGTTAGAGATATCTGTCACTTCACTCATTTATGGGTGGCTGTGAAGGCTTACCGTCAATTACGTTTGCGCCATGAAGCCTCTACTTCTGAAACCACCTGGAAGGGAGGTAGGCTCTGCTTTTTGTAATCTTTTGGGGTATTTGGGTTTGGCTCCTCCTTTCGGTCGAAGAGCTTAAAAATAAAATAAAATCGTGATGAGAACTGCTGAGTATGCCACGAAGAGTACAGCGCCGCCTGCGATGAGCCATCGAGGCCAACGAAATGTCCTCTTGCTCGCGTCGTCTTTGTGGTAGCTATCATGCAAGAAGGAGTCGGACTCGGCAGCAGATGAGTCGTCCGCAATGGGTGAATAGGACGGTACTTTGTTGTTCTGCATCATGGTGATATCGAAAGTCAGGATGGAAACGAGAAGTGAGGGAGCAGAATCTTGCCGGGCGAAGGGGACGTTGGGATAGTTGCATCAAGGCGAATTAAGTATGTATACCCAATGATTCGTTCCTTACAGAGTAGTAACCTCATCCGGCCAGCCACCGAACTTATCGCCGTTGATAGGCGGAGTGTCGTCAACGCCAAGGGTTCTTTATCGTGTCATCGCTACTCATGTGATCTGAGTGTATGCACGAGCTGAGCCCTCCACGGGTCTATGATCTGATCTCCGGGTATCACCAGAGGGTGAGAGGAGAAGCGAATCACACACCTTCCTAATATGCATCGTAACCCTGAACTTCACACATGGCCAAGAGAACTATCTTGATCCCCTATCCGTGTATTGTTTCCTCTCGGCCGGGGTAATAAATTCTTCCATTATGTGGCAAGGTTAAGACTGATAATACCCATGATCATGCGTCATTCTGTTCGATATCACTCGCCAATGATAAGTAATGGGTGGGAGCATGGGGTTGTCAGAAGAGAGGTGAGATAGGCAAAACGAGGATGTCGTCCCGACGCGGATGAAACAGTGAGCATGTTAAAGGTGTCCGAGTTCTAGACTCAACACAATCCGTTGATCCTCCTACTCCCGCATACCACGAAGGGAAATCATCTCACTTTTTCATCTCTACAAGCACTACCATCAAAACCATAGCAATTATTCGTCATGCAGTTCAAGCAGTTCGCCCTGGTAGCCCCTCTGGTGCTCGCCCTTGCTTCTGCCCTTCCCGTGGAAGACAGTAAGTAAAGCCTGCTTGGGCACCTAAGTGAAATGCGAATACTAACTGCCACTAGGGCGATCTCCTGCCAAGGCATCCAAGGACAACGATGACGTCTAGCTGTGGAAGAGGTCTCCCGAGAAGGACAACGATGATGTCTGGCTGTGGAAGAAGGATGAGGCTCAGGCGAAGAAGCTCCAGAAGGACAATGAAGATATCTGGCTGTGGTAGAAACCAGGTCTCCTAGGAAGGGGGCGCTTCGTCAGCAATAAACTGCACAGGTGGTGTTGTGCTTGCGTTGGACCGTCTGGCTTGTGGTTTGGTTTGTGTCTCGTTAGCTTGGAAAACGTTTCGATGTCACCATATGTTCATCAACGCTATTCTGTGTATTTGGGGGTCTGAAATGAGATTTTGGCCTTGTGGACTAAGCAGCGGTTTCCCGTGACGGCATACTGCCACCCACATCCAATGCCTCACTCTGTGCCATACCCCAGCTGCTCCTCTTTCTAGTTGCCCTATACCGTGGTTCTTGTACACCATGATACCCTGATGCTGTGTTAGCTGACAGGGTCTGTGCAAGAGTTGATAGGATTGGGCGCTTACTTGATTTGTGTATGGATTGCAGGCTTGTCAGATATGGTCATTCAAGAGAACCAAGGTGGTATATGAGATTGGATATGGAAAGTGTCGGGGGCCGATGGGAAAACAAGGACGAGGAAGTATGTAGCCGAATGACTCCAGCTTCTGATTCCTCATCATGAATACAACTGATGCAACTCGAAGAGTGTGGATTCGTAATAGCGGCAACTGGTCCTTCATTCGAATCCTGGCCGGATTGCCAGAGACAGCCAATGCATGCGCGGCCACTTGTTGCGGTGTTGTTACTGCTTCATTGAGATACGCTGCATATTGGTCACCGTTCGCTATCTTGTCTCTAAGCGATTGTATTAAATTGTACTGGTTATTGGGTTGTTGTGCCATGGCGTCCATTTCACGGTGGTTCGAGGATTTGGTGCGGAAATCAAGTTGGTTAGTTGGATCCTGGGACATCCAAATTGGCCCAGGACCATTGCGTTCAAGTCAGAACTCTTTGATTTCCGAATCTCCCCGAGTCGTCGGGCCTGGTTGCAGACAGCTCGAATCTGCGAGGGCCAAATAATGCGAGATGTTGTAGTCGAGATCGGGATATCCGTCGTCCTGGTCCATCCGGTATGGGTACATTCTCAAGTCTCGAAAAGGTCTGTGGTCGAATTGTGGATTGGAGTTGAAACGAAGCGAAGTTTAAATTTGGTCAAGTTTGTCCCAACTAATCCTGGCCCATCCGCAGTTGTTCGTTTGCGATGTAGCGCATCAGAATGTCTTTTTAAATCTGCCAACCCATGAATGGTCAGGCTCAGGTTCCGGTTCGTGGACAACTACTGACTAGGGTCTGCAGCCCAAGTCATGACGGCGTGTTGCCACAGGTTGACCTCGCGCGGAGTCAGCGGGATCTTCTCCAAATCCTCGCCATGGATTGTGAGTGGCTTCTTCATGACCTCTCTTCCCTGTTGGATTTGTCTAACCACCTTCCACGCCGCGCTGGCTTGCGAGCGGTACGAGGCAAAAAGCACAAGGACTGTGCTTTGATGGCCATGCTGGGATTCCACCATATCTTCGAGTTTGAAATCGAAATTCCCCCGGAACAGGAAGCAAAGGTCGAAGATGTTGACGACCTCGGAAGGTCCGGTGATGGTCAAAGCTCTCGAGGCAATGGAATACGGCTTCGAAGTGGTGTAGAATCGGTTCATGACTACTCGCGGCTTTACTCCGAGCACGGTAAATTGGTCTTGCTCCCACTTGCGCCAGAAGTTGTCGAGGCCTGCTCTGTCCCAAAACACCAGCTTCGCAGCTGCGGTTGCGTACCCATCCGCCGGTGCGATCATGTTTGATGCATATAGTTTGCCCATGCCCCGAATTTGGGCAAGGAGGTCAGTTGGGCGGCAGTTGCCCGGGAGTCCGGAGACGAAGACTGAGGTGCTTTGCTCGACGGGAATATCCTGAGAGTGGTTGAGAGGATTGTTGAGGTCACCCCGGTAGGTGGCATTGCCGGGTGTATCCATCGTGGTGGTTCGAAGACTTCGTGTTCACAACCTGGCAGATTGAGAGATGTGTTCGATGTTGGAATGTATTCAGGCTGTGCCGCAACCTTGAGCAAATTAATAAATTCGCGGCTTGAAGAAAATTGAGGAGTGCAGGATGTGAATGGATTAGGGCGTCGCTTGAAGGCTAGGTCCAACCAAGCAGGGATCAAGATTAAATGGGAAAAGGTCTGCATTGTTCTCAAAGTCTACATTGTTCTCTTTTTATGAGAGGTGTGCGAAGGACGCGTCAGTCGTGAAGCGGAGCCCGTGGCCATGCAACCTGAGCTACGCGTCAAGTCATCAATAACAATAACAGCCGTTTAGCATAATCATATAGCTGTTTATTTTCTCACTACCAGTATCATTTGCTAATGCGATGGGTGAAATTTTTCTTCTATCTCAGGGGGGGACACGATGTCACTGGCCGCATTTGTGAACACGGAAGCGTCAGAAAATGTCTACCCATAATGCAGAACACAATGCGTTTGCAAGTTCACTTCCAAAAGTGCCATAACAGGATTGCGTGGCAACACAGCTTGACGATGGAAACTTGGAGAACTGGGTACTAGAACAGCATACCACGTAATTATGACCCCGAGCATTACAGCCATCCTAACCGTCATTGTGGTCAGGATGCACCGTAAACCAAATCTCAAACATGCCCCATCACCCCAAGCCCCATATCGCCTTTAAACATCGTGGATTATATTCAAGGTTCAGAATGTTTCCCTATACAAGTACTCGCCAGTCTTATCGAGTGTATATGACACCTTCAGTCTCCATAAGTCGTTCAATCATCAACACCCACCACGAATATCTATCACAGATTAATCTGGCATCGGCCTCAGCATCATATACGATGGTCTCCTTCAGCTGGTGGGACAAGTCCCTGACCACCTTCCAGGCAGCAAGCGCTACGCGCGTTGGTGTATATATCAGGAATAGGGGCATTGTTTTACATCAGGGGAGTACCTTGAAGGCGGGCAAGGAGCGTAGAGCCAAAGTGTTACGACCCAGACCTCGCCACCGAGCTCCGTCATCTCGTCCGCGGTCTCCACGAATCCCTGGCCGTTGAGGACGAGTGCCTATCAGCTCCCGAGTCGAGTTGGGGCCCTCAGAGAGTTCGGAACGGCGAACGCTGGCGGGCGTCTGCTCTCTGGTCCAGCAACTCCTCTGCCGCGGGAATGATCATCATAAAGGAGCCAGAGGACTTCTGCGCCATCTTGGCCGCGAAGTAGGTCGTCTGACTTGAGAAGTGAAGCAGACGGGACGATTGCATTGTTCTATCGTGTAGTGTGCGGGTCTCGCTGGGCAACCCCTCAAGAAGCCATTGGAACTCGTTCAGGGTGCTGTCCAAATCCAGGGGCTTCATTGACAGGGCCATGATGATTGCCGTCCTGCGGATGAATATGCGAACGCCACTGTGGATGGTGTCGTTCTGGGCGTTTTGGATGCTCAAGCAGCGCCGGTGATCGGGCGCATCGTCGCGCAGTCTATTAAATCTATAAGCATACTCATTATATACACACACCTTATAAGGTCTACTGCTGCCGAAATAGGCACTAAGGGGATCGGGGTTCTTGCTTACCGTCTAGGCGCGGGTTTCCCCCCTTGCTTCGGTGGCCGTGTTACCCAATGGCGGGCTGTTATTCCATGGCTCTGTTACTCCATGGTCGCGCTATCTACTACATGGTGTCGCTAAGGTAATGAACAAGCCTTGGCGAATTCAGTCATTCCTGCACCTCAGCTGAGGGGCATTCGCGAAATTCCATCTCCACTCAGCGGAAGATCATCACAACCAGAAGGAGAGGTGCTCTCGGGACCGACGTTCTTACGAATGGAGTCGCTGATGGAACGTCACCCCGCAGGCCAATGCCATTCCCCGATTGCCAAGAGTTACTCTCCTCATCTGTACTGTAAGGGATACTCTGACGGCTGGCGGCTGTATGATCTGACATCCTCCTCACCCACGACCCCACCTGCACGCTCTCTCGCTTCAGTGACGTTGTTAGGCAGGTGTGTTGCACCGTGGGATCCAACTGTGTTCAGGTCACCGCTAGTCCTGGATGTTGGTCCTACCAAACGTTTCAACGTCAAGTGATGCTCTCTCCTTTTCGCCTCGGATCGGATTACTCGATCGGGAACTCCATGTAACGCGAGCCACCACCCCATGCAAGTGTTAAGGTTCTGACTCGCTCCACCCTTCCCCAGGTCTCTAGTTCTTAGTGTGCAAGGGGATTTGCGGGGGAGGAGTCCAGGCGATATCCACCTCGTTCACGAGTCAAGACTCCAGGTGATCAATTCAACGTGAACTACATGGTTTCTAGAAGGGGTTCTCGAGGTATTGTACCGTTTCGATGGTATACCACCAAAGTGTGTACATCATTGACATGAACAAGCGACTGAAAAGGAATCGACCTGCTTACTACGAATATTGTGGTGTTGGCCGTCCTGCCAGCCCTGCGTCATGCAAGGGAGGATTGTCCAACGTCAGGTGCGTCCCCATCGAAAGCGTATTGGACCAGGCGGAAGGTTTGCGCAGATCCGCCCCGTGCGCTGGCGCTCTAGTTGCGCATACATACTTTCAAGCATTCGCGAGAAGCACGACCTTGGCCTACTCGGGTATCCTTATACAATAATCAACTCCACCGCTGGTCTGGGGACACAAACTAGACTCGAACCGCTCATCTGGGGATACAAAACAGACTCGAGCCGTTGATCTGGTTCGCCATTGTTGGACAAGCTCGTCCCTGCTCCCAGAGAACTCCGGACCTTTGTCACAATAGCCTTTTTCAAGTATCGCGGGGAAGTGACACGGTCGCGATTCGCTCACCATGGGGAAAAAGTACTTTGGCCTTCGTGGCAATAGTCTCAACTGGGCCGTGGGCCTCATCGCTGGATGTGATTTCCTGCTTTTCGGATATGGTATTTCTCTTCTGCCATGGCCGATCTAGATGGTACTCATGAGACTAAGATCAGCATCCAGATCAGGGTGTGATGGGCGGCATCTTGACGATGCACCAATTCCTCGACGCCTTCCCGTCCATCAACCCGGACGACCCAGCCATCCAATCTGACACCGCGCTGAAGTCCCAGCGATCAACCTCGCAGGGCATTTCCGTCGCGGCGTACAACCTCGGATGCTTCCTTGGGGCCGTTATCAGCATCTTCATCTCCAATCCACTGGGTCGCAAGAAGATGATCATCCTCGGCACACTCATCATGGTCGTGGGCGCGGCACTGCAGGCCAGTGCAACCACGCTGCCACACCTGATCGTCGGACGTATCATCACGGGCATCGGAAACGGGGCCAACACGTCGACGGTGCCAACCTGGCAGTCGGAGACGTCGCGCTCGCACAAACGCGGGAAGCTAGTTATGATCGAAGGCGCCCTGATCACCTGCGGTATCATGATATCCTACTGGATCGATCTGGGCTTCAGTTTTATCGAGAGCAGCGTCGCATGGCGGTTCCCGCTCGCCTTCCAGATCGTCTTCTGTCTGTTCATCCTGGCGTTCATATCGGGCCTACCTGAGTCGCCGCGATGGCTGATTCTGAAGAACCGCGAAGATGAGGCTCGCGAGGTGCTCGCGGCGTTAGCCGATGCGCCAATCGACTCCAAGGAGGTTAACAATGAGTTCATCGCTATCAAGGACACTGTCATCGAGATGTCCAAGGGTACTTTTGCGGATCTCTTCAAGATGACAAAGGATAGGTATGTATAACTTATTTGGGAGGTCGTAGGCGGCATCGGACTTCTCTAGACCCTCGCGACAGCCATGTCTAACATCTGATTAGGGAGCTTCATCGCACTATACTGGCCTATTCGAATCAGATGTTCCAGCAGATCTCCGGCATCAACCTAATCACCTACTATGCCCCGGTGATCTATGCTGGCTTAGGTATGAATGCTTTTATGGCAAGACTGCTGGCCGCGATCAACGGCACGGAGTACTTCATCGCTTCCTGGCCCGCCGTATTCCTGGTCGAGCGCGTCGGCCGGAGGAAGCTCATGCTCTTCGGTGCGGCAGGCCAGGCTGCCTCGATGGCGATTCTGGCCGCCACGAACTCGCAGGAGGACAACAAGCAAGCCCAGGCTGCCGCCATCGCCTTCCTCTTCATATTCAACACCTTCTTTGCCATTGGTTGGCTGGGCATGACCTGGTTGTATCCCGCCGAGATTGTGCCTCTCCGGATCCGCGCCCCGGCAAATGCGCTCTCGACGTCTGGGAACTGGATCTTCAACTTCCTCGTCGTCAGTAAGTAAAACAGCTGCCTATGTCTCTCATTTATGTCGTATGCAGCTGAGCACGCGCTGATACCACGCACCCCAGTGATCACGCCCATCGCCTTCAACAGCATCGGCTACCAGACGTACATCATTTTCGCCGTGATCAACGCGTTCATGGTTCCTAGCGTCTACTTCTTCTACCCAGAAACCGCGTACAGGTCGCTCGAGGAGATGGACACCATCTTCCATAAGAGCTCAGCGGGGCTCAAGGGCTACTTCGACGTCGTGCACGTCGCCAGGCGCGAGCCTCAGCGCTACGGCAAGAATGGCGAGCTGCTCATCGCGTACGAGGAGACGGACGAGCGTAAGGCGCATTTGCCGCTCCATACCGAGCATCGAGAGGTTGGGTCGAGCGAGGCGGTTAGCAGTGATGCTGAAAAGAGGGTTGGGGTTGTGGGCGACCAGGTTGCAGCTAAGGATGCTTGACGAGTGGCATTGTCACTATGGTATGACGGGCATGGCGCGGTGTGACACCGAACGGTATGATAACTCCCGCGTCACGGGAGACGAAGAGTGGTGACTTGGATACCCCTTATCCATGATATCACGCCTGAATAAAAGTTCGCACATATTTGCTTACCACAACCTATTATCAGTGTACAGATAAAACTCATGCATTCTATATCTGAGGGCGAAGGTAAGCCTCTCAGCACCGGACTGGGAGGTTTCTGTCATTGTTCGATGCATTTAGTGTATATATCTCGGTGATTTGAACCTCAACGCAGTGAACGTACTACCTCTTCGTCCAAATCACAGAAGCCTACAACGCCCGTCAGCGCGGGCATCTAGTTTTGCTTTCTATTTAGACCTCGCCCACAAACCTTGGGTTCTCTCTTCCCTCTACTATTCCTACACCAATCCACGAGCCACGCAACAGCAAAAATAGGCCCACGATACGCCATTCTAGACACGCTAGCTATAGGCGACACTCGACAACTCGCATACCCTTTTCCGAAGACGAGAATCTTAGAGCTCCGACATGCCTACCTATACGGATTTCTATCAGGAGCAGGGAACTCCCGATATGGACCTCAATATGGACACCGAACTGCGCAACACCATCATCATCTTGGCGGCCGTCAGCTGCAGCGTGCTGGTTACGGTGGGCGTGGCTGCGGTCGTGACTTGGACTTTGATACGTCCGAAGCGTGTCCATCTGGCGTAATCTCGCTGGCTTGATTTGGGCTACTCGGGGTGGTACTATGGTTGAGGAGCATCCCCGTCCGCGGAGGCGCTGTATAAACTGCGTATTGCTTCGGACTGCTATCGATGTGCAAAGAACATTTGATGTATCGTGATGAATGACATGAGTCCGTCTCGGCGCGTGGGAGATGGGTAGGCGAGAGCACTTGAAATGAGATGTATTGAGCATAGGACACCTCGCACACTCATGCCCATTGGTAAATATACGTCCGTTCTATATGTGATATCAAACGAATGCGAGGCCATGAATGGAAGTAACGCTACGCATCGGATTCAGTCAAGGGTAGCATATAGGAATGTATGAATTTCGTGCTGCCTCTCCACCTCCCTAGGATTACCTCCGTATTTCATACAATCACAACCTACGCACCCAAGAAACCCCAAGCGACGCCGTCCACCACAATTTGCCAAAACTCAACTTAAGAGAAGTTTTTCATAACCAGACCTCCACAGCATTGAAAGACGGGCATAATGGACACGCAACTGCCCATCTAGATCGTCGTAGGCTGTGCCATAGGCGGCATCTTCGGGATCATTGCTGTTCTCCCTCATAAGTTATACGGAAACGGATGGTATCAGCCGGTAAGTCGGTATTAGACTGGGGCTGGAGATATAGCCACTGGTCGAGAGAGATGTATTGCTGACGTGCGCGGTTGTTGTAAGTGCTGCTGGGATTCCGTGTTCGTAAAGCGAGCAGTGGTGTGGTGAGCAGGTTGCGACCGTCTGGCGCATGGTGTGATCACTGGGATATGCCCATCACTGTTATTTATATGGTCTAATTATATGGATTACATGGAAAGCGCTGAGTATAGTTCGATTTAAACCTCTAACTATTGATTGTTGTCAATCTAGACCCGTTCTATCTTTGCTCCCCCCTAACTTATCTTGAAATCCAGCGCACTTTAGGTGTCAGCCATACGCAACTAGAACGAGGGCCACAGGCCGCGCATATGGCGCAGTATGCACCGGTTCCCGCTGAGACAGGACTGTCTAGTTGGCTTGGTAGTAACCCCAACCCTAACGCTGGAGCACATCCTGGCCACTCAACACCCATGCCACATATCCCATCCAGCCTAAAGATAGCCTGAAAAATAGAAGTATTAACTAGTTTAAGTGTGCGAGGTATTTATTACGTTCGGCTTATTTATTTTATCTTATTTTATAATGTTTGTTGTTTGTTTTGTATTTAACGTGGGGGGTAGCTCCTCAGTAGTGCAAACCACGCCTCCCAGAGCCATTGCATCGCAAGGTTGTAGAGGTGTCAAATTAGATACATTCAGATCCGCGCACGAGCCTATCCTCGCTGTAGCGGTACCAATCTGGAGTGTTCAGATGGTTTTAGTCAATACCCAAGCACGATTCCGTCAGAAAAACCTCCTATCTAGTGACAAAGCGACCCAGTGAACCTCAGTTCTCTGGTGTACATATCGTTCCAGTAGCCGTTCGATATATGTCGCATTGGTGGGTGGAGTAGGTGTTTGTTATCTGCTGGCGAGGGAAACCACAAGGGGGAAAACCTCGCAGGAGTGGGTATTGTGGAGACAAGCTGCTTGGCTATCGGGCTCTGCGATAAAATGGGGCCTCTCCACTGTCGTGTGCTGGTTATCGACTCGCACAAGCCGGGTCAGAAAGGGGGCCATAGCAGGATTCGAACCCACTTGTTCTCGTCGCCCACCGCACAAACGAGAACACAACCAGGCGCATTTGACCATTGCGCCATACGGCCATCTTATTTTATAATGTCGTTTTTATTTAAGAAACATAAGTATAATATTGAAAATAGTATTAAAAAACATCTTATAAATAAAAGAACTATTTGTATAACATAGGTCACAAGCGAGCGGGACACACAAGCGAGCGGGTGTCACGGAACAGCTGGCAGCTCAGGACGAAGATGCCCATCTATTACTCCAGATGAATAAGAATCTACTGGTGAGGAGGGAAGAAGGATCAGAACCACCAGCCAATTCTGGTGGGGGATTAGATCTTCAATCCCGCTCCACAATTATCCATAGTGAGTGCAGCGGGGCAACGCGTCCACCCCACCAGATCACCTGATGAGCGCACGTACCACCGTGAATGGATGGATGGATGTCAGATCCATCACAGCGGGACACTTTTACCCACCTTTCAACCAACATGTCCAATAACATAATCACAACGCATTGAATTCAATCTAATTAATCAGATTCCTCTTCTTCAGACGTTTCTATCTCTATTGTACAAGTTCCCGCATTATGACCAGTGTTGACGCAAACACTACAACATTGCTCACACGCTGTTGCACTCCTTGGATGACGACTACCTTCACCCATTTCCTGTCTTGTTAGCTTGATATTATCCTTTGCAGCCTGAAGACCTACTATTTTTTTAACAGAAAGTATTTCTTCTTTTATCAGACAATTTTGTTTTTGTTTTCTGGCGTTTACCTAATAAGTGATTAGCCTTTTCTAGCTCGCGGACCCAGGAATCAACCAAAGCGACCTTGTGTATAAGACCGTATGTAGCCTTCAAAAACGAGCTCAATACATCAATTATTAATATAGGTGAGCTTCTTTAGTGTTTTCTGACTCAATTTTGAATATAAACAGATTGGTTTACCGCTTCTTTAATGGTGGTAGGCGTTTTTGAAGTCCAAGTATTGGGTGGCAGACTGGAGGCGACGGTATTCGTACAACTGTCATAAGTCCTGCGGCGTTGTGGTGGAATCTGGTGTTGTATTCTCAAAAAAACAAGGTGAGGAAAGAAAGGAATACAGGTGTGTGCACCCGAATGGCTGCAGCACATATGGTTGTGTCCTTCCTTATCTAATCTACATGTGACCTGATGACTAAACATCCATCCATCTAGGTGGATAGGGCTGTACACCGTCACAACAACAGTGACAGCATCCAGCTTCAAAATGACACTTTCTTGGTCAAAAGGAACAAACCCAGTGGCACTGAAACCTGCTTGAATGTTTCCTGGCGTCATAGCAGCATTGTGTGCTTCACAAAATGCTGTAAGGAAGTCCTCTTCGAAATGTGGGTTATATAACGCCGGATGAGATCCTTAATCATGCGATCGTACACTCGTTTAAGCGGGCTAAAATAACTGATATCTAAAGGCTAGAGCCTGTGTGACGAGTGGGCAGGCATATAAAGGGTAATAATGCTATTATTTTGGCAATAATCCTCAAAGATCTGGGAATGGTGGCTTTTGTGACTATCTAAGATGAGGAGGCGTTTACTGGCAGTCATACACGGTCTGGTATACTTGTCAAAATACTGAATCTATTTTAAACCGATCTTATTTGTAGTCCACCCGTTCTCTGACACAGCTATCTTGTAATCGCATGGTAATGTTGTGTCGCAATACCATGACGCGAGGTGGGTTTTGCCCTGTAAAATAATGAATGGCAGGACCATCCAACCATCGGTATTGATAGCAAAAATTGCTATATACCATTACTTATTGCCTTGCTAAGCTAGTCTAGGCCTATCATGTCTTTTGGCGCTTATAATTACCATGCCGGACCCAATAATGCCCATCATAAACCCAGTCTTGTTGAAGTTATAAATATCCGCTTCTTTGATACCATGTTTTGTAACTGCTGCCGCAACTTAGCAAAACCACGCGCAATACGCGTCTGGATCTTTGTTCAAGACCCTTGAGTAGTCTATCCTGCAATAAAAATGCGTCCAAAGGCCTGATGTACGTTTGATAAAGTTCTGCATCCAGGTCTTTCTAAGGCGTCTAGCCCCACGTGTCGCCAATGATTGATTCGTCATATCTTCAATATAAGTGTACCAGGGCGAAAATGCTCGCGCATCCAGGTCGAGTATAAAGGAGCAAATGGCATTCTTTTCCAAAACCATAAGTTTTAAAGATTTAGGTATGTTATCGCATCGTGATGGTCGGCCGGCAAATTTTTGAGCCAGTATAGAGATTGGTAGGTGGAAAATTTTAGCAAGCTTTCGAACAGAAATATGGGGGTCTCGTTTTTTTAGCTGTATGTCTGATTTGTTATAACGCGGTGCCATTGCCGTGGGTGGAGGAATACTGGTTGAAAGTTGAAAGTTGAGATGTTCACGAAAGTGTCCCACTCACTTATGTGTCTTGCTCGCTTGTGACCTACGTTATCTCTACTAATAATAATAGCACCGCGTTATAACAACTTAGACTTACAGCTAGCTATTTAAGCTAAACGACGTAACCCTCATATTTTTATATTTCAATTTGTAAAACTCTTCAACATCCCTTATTCCACTTTAAGTAATAAAATTAAAAAAAGCTCATTATAACGTGATAGAATGCTTAATACTTTAATATTTATGAATAAATCTTTTTTTGCTATTTTCCTTTTTATTTTTAACTTAGATATGCAAGCAGTTCTACCCTGGCATAATTATATTAAAAGTATAGAAAATTAATTATTAGCAGTGCATAAGATTGAACGCATTAAAAAAAACTAGACGCGGAACTTTATTAAACATATACTAGGCTTTTGGACGCGGTTTTATTGAAAAATAAACTATTAAAGGGATTTAAACAAAATTTAAATGCGTATTACGCGTAGTTTTACTAAGTTAAGGCGGTAATCGCAAAATGTAGATATTTACAACTTTAATAAAACTATATTTATAATAAGTATTATTAATTTTAGTATAGTTGTTATAAGCTGTGATGGTTCCACCATCCATCAGGTCTAGCGATGGTTCCCATGGTCCCCGGGTCACGTGACTTGGCACGTGACTGATTGGATGATAGGTTGATCCATACCCTGGTGGGTCTGGTGAGGGACGACTGCCCACATCTAGCTGCCCACCAATTTGGGTGCATCTCAAGATCTTTCTTTTCCTTCAACTAGAGTTTGTTATACGTTAATAGTCAATAAAGGTCTATGTATCCTTCCAATACATTTACGAAATTATGATATAAGCGCTAAAAGATATAACAGGCTTAAATAAGCTTAATAAGGTAATAAAAATAGTTTATAGTAATTTTTTTATTAATATTAATAGTTACGTAGTTTTGCCGTTCACTATTTTATAGGGTAAGACTTACTTTGCGTTATAACATTGCGACATAATATTATTACGCGATTAAAAAGTAGCCGTGTTTAATAACCAGTAGATTATAAATAAAATCGGTTTAAAATGAATTTACTATTTTAATAAGTCTATTAAACCGTATATAACTGCCAGTAAACGCATCTTTAACTTAAATGGTTATAAAAGCTATGATCTGTAAGTCTTTAAAAACTATTGTCAAAATAATAGCATTATTACTTTTTATATGCTTGCTTAATCGTTATATAAGCTTTAGCCTTTAATTTTTAATTATTTTGACCCGCTTAAACGAACTTATCTGGCGTTATGTTATCTAAGTTTTAAAATATGACTTTTTCATAGCGTTTACATAATATATAACGATGTTATAACGTTAAAAAAACATTTAAGCAGGTTTAATTACTACTAGCTTTGTTTTTTTTTTAATTTAAAAAGGATTATTTTAATACTAAATGCTATTATTATCGTATAAATACCATTATTAAACCTGAATTTGCTACTTACTATTTAAACTTTAAAACCACTTGTTATTATTATTATTAATAAAGCAATAGCTTAGTCCGTTTATACAAAAAATTAGATTAAAAACTACTGAAAAAGCTTACTTTTATTAATGTTTAGTGTATTAAACTCGTTTTTATAAACTACGTATAGTCTTATGCATAAAGTCGCTTTAGTTAATTCCCAAACCCGCGAGCTAAAAGAAGCTAATTGCTTACTAAACAAACGTCAGAAAATAAAAACAAACGTCTAGTAAAAAGAAAAGTACTTTCCATTAAAAGTGCAGTAAGTCTTTAAGTTATGAAAGATAGTATTAAGCTAGCAAAATAAGAATTATGTAAAAATAGTCGTTATTTAAAAAGAGTGGCAGCGCGTAAGTAACGTTATAATGTTTAGGGCAATACTAGCTATAATACGCGAACTTATATAATAGAAAGAAAAACTTTCAAAAATGAATAACTAAATTAAATTAAATGTGTTACAGTCAAGTTATTTAACATGTTAATTAAAAGCTTTGTAATAGCTCGCAGGTTGCTTATATTTCCAGCTCGCTTGTTATCTACATTAAAATATTTACATAGTAGTAAAGAAGCTATAAAAACTTAGCTTTAAATAAACTTTAACCCTTTATTAACTAGCTACCTTTATCTTTTTAGACATTTAGAAATATCTTTCTATACCGCCAATTATAAAATAAGCGCGTTTCGTAGTGAGTTATTAAAACAACTATAATTAAAAGCTTTAACTCGTTTAAAGCTATAATATAATGTCGTTATGTCCATCTAAACCCGTTAGTTATACTATTTTATATATATAATTAAAATTATTAATCGATAAGGATTTAACGTAATTATAATAACTTTTATAAAAGCTTAGTTAATTCGAATAAATTATATTAAACTAAGTTAAAACAATTATAATTAAGTTAAATAAAACGCTATTTTAGCTTAAAAGTTAAAGAAATAAAGCAGATTATTACTAGGTTTTAAACTGGTTAACGTATCATTTTTAACGCCGTGAAACTCTTACTTATTCTCGGGTTTTTTGAGTATAAATTAGTTATAATATTAATTTATTAACGTGGATGACAAGTGAGCGGCAATTACAAGCGAACGGCAACTTTTCACTAACCTTCCAACCAACATGTCAAATAACTCGACCACAATGCATTTAATTCAATCTAATCAATTGGATTCTTCTTCTTTATACGTTTCTATCTCTGTTGTACAAGTTCGCGTATTATGGCCAGTGTTGCCGCAAACGCCACAACGTCGCTCACGCGCTACCGCCCTCCTTGGACGACGACTACCTTCACCCATTTCCTGTCTTACCAGCTCACCACCATCCTTTATAGCCTGGAGACCTACTACATCTTTAACAAAAAATATTCTTCTTTTTATTAAATGTTTGTTTTTTATTCTTTAGCATTTACTTAGTACGTGATTGGCCTCCTCTAGCTCGCAGACCCGGGAATCAACCAAAGCGACCTTATGCATAAGACCATATGTAGCCTTTAAAAATGAGCTCAATGCATCAATTATTGATGTAGGTGAGCTTCCCTGGTGGTTTCTGACTCGATTTTGGATATAAACCGACTGGTTTATCGCTTCATTGATTGTGGTAGGCGTTTTTGATGTCCAAGTAATGGGTGGCAGATTGGGGTCTGGCGACAGTGTTCGTACGACAGCGACAGCATCCAGCTTCGAAATGACACTTTCTGGGTCAAAAAGAACAAGCCCAGTGGCACTGAAACCTGCTTGAATGTTTCCTGGCGTCATAGCAGCATTGTGTGCTTCACAAAATGTTGTAAGGAAGTCCTCTTCGAAATGTGGGTTATATAACGCCGGATGAGATCCTTAATCATGCGATCGTACACTCGTTTGAGCGGGCTAAAATAACTGATATCTAAAGGCTAGAGCCTGTGTGACGAGTGGGCAGGCATATAAAGGGTAATAATGCTATTATTTTGGCAATAATCCTCAAAGATCTGGGAATGATGGCTTTTGTGACTATCTAAGATGAGGAGGCGTTTACTGGCAGTCATACACGGTCTGGTATACTTGTCGAAATGCCGAATCCATTCCAACCCAATCTCATTTGTAGTCCAACCGTTATCGGACACAGCCACCTTCCAATTGCGTGGTAATGTCGTGTCGCAATATCATGACGTGAGGTGGGTTTTACCCAGTAGAATGATGAGCGGCGGGACCACTCAACCATCAGCATTGACAGCAGAAATTGCTGTAGACCATTCCCTGTTAACAGCCTTACTGAGATTGTCTAGGCCTACCACGTCTTTCGGCATTTGTAACGACCATGCCGGACCCAATAATGCCTATCATAAACCTAGTCTCGTTGAAGTTATAAATATCCGCATCTTGGATACCATATTTTGCGATTGCCGCTACAACTTGGCAAAATCACGCGCGATACGCGTCTGGATCTTCGTTCAAAACCCTCTTGTAGTCCATCCTCTAATGAAAACGCGTCCGGAGGCCTGGTATACGTTTAATGAGGTTCCGCATCCATTTCTTTCCAACGCGTCCATCCCCACGTGCTGCCAACAATTGATTCGCTATATCTTTAATATAACTGTACCGGGGTGGAAATGCTCACGTATCCAGGTCAAGAATGAAGGAAAGAATGGCATTTTCTTCGGAAACCGTAAGTTTCAAAGTATTGGGCATGCTATCGCGTCGTGATGGTCAGCCGGCCATTCTAGCCTTCAAGGTATTATATGGGACATGGAAAGTCTTAGAAAGCTTGCCAATAGTAATATGAGGGTCGCATCGCTTAGTTTGGACAGCAAGCTGTAAGTCTGATTCGCTATAACGCAATGCCATTATTATTGGTTGATCAATTAGGAACCTTGATTGAAAGGTTAGATGGCTGGTGAAAAGTTGCTGTTCGCTTGTAATTGCCGCTCGCTTGTCATCCACGTTAGTAGTTATTAAATCCTATATATATACGGGCCTGTTCTGTTTGCTTTATAACGCTAGCAGTTTCAACGCTATCCTTTACTATTAAACACACTTTAATAGGTAGACTTAAACGAAATGCTTTCTTTGTGTTGAATGGAAGCCGGAAATAGACACCGGAAGATCTCCAGTGGGGCAGAGACGCACAGGGCATCTGACCCACCAAGAAGAAAGATGATCAATCTCTGTAGGCTGAAGAAGCAGAGCAGAACAAGAAGAAGAACAGAACACACTTGACAACCTGAATAATCTGAACTCGCTTTTGCAAACTTATTATTATTAGTGAAACTCCAGTCAAGATGACCCGACTGCTAACGACCCGCGACCCAGGTCCTCGTCGCGAGAAAGCCCAGTGGCACTTCTCAGCCTTGGCAACCCTGGCATAGCGACGATAATAATAAGATAAGGAAATCCTCTACCATATTAAGTACCTATCATCCTGATTCCTGAGCATTCCCAAAGTCCCTGACTACTGTTCCTCCTCTAGAACTAGTATACCGGTACCTACTATACTAGCAGTAGCCCGCGGATGGCTGATCCCTCGATCCCAGGACGGTCACTAGTGGGGTAGAACAATAACGCGTTCCATGGGTTTGGCGTCAGCTTGCGCCGTACAGATACGTGCCTGCCTGTCAGAGTCCAGACCATCAGACAAGACGGCAGGAATGGCCTCATCACATTACCCCTGCTGTGGGGATTCGTCCGAGGCGTCGGTCCCGACAAAGGAACCAGGCTGCCAGGCGGGCAAGGTAGAGGATCGGTAGCTTGTATAATTGCAAGGTCATCTTTTCCTCCGCCATCCGGCGTCCGAGCACCGCCTACTGCTCACCTTATCCCTCCCCATGCGTGTCTCACTGAAAACGGGCGTCCTGCTTCCTTCACCACGCACCCAGTTATATCTATATGATAGTCAGGACATCTCCTGTTGCTCTTCACCCCACCCACACCCTTCCAAGAACATCATCAGGGTTGTCCTTCGCTCATCCCCTACCAGTTTAGGCCACACGTCGAGTCTGGTTCCTTTCACGCTGTCCTTCCGTTTTTGATACCCCTTACTCGTTGATCTACCGCAGACATGGCGGACACTAAGAAGAGCATAATCGTGCTGGGCGGCTCCTATGCAGGGGTGTCCATCGCTCACAACCTGCTGAAGCACGCCATCCCCAACCTACCATCCAAGGAGTCGTACGAGGTCGTCCTGATTAGCACCACGTCACAGGCCATGTGCAGGCCGGCCTGCCCTCGAGCGCTGATATCGGACGACCTGTTCGACCAATCCCGGCTCTTCGTCAGCATCCCAGAGCAGTTTAAGCAGTACGGGGCCAACTTCCGCTTCATCCAGGGCACGGCCACGGAGCTGGACCACAGCGCCCGCGTCATCACCTTTGATCTAAAGGCCGGCGGTACTGAGAAGCTGCCGTTCCACGCGCTCGTCATCGCCACGGGGGCGGCCACGGCCTCACCCCTTCTTGGCTTCACGGGAGATGAGGACGGCTTACGCGCCAGCTGGGCCGAGTTCCGCAAGGCCCTCCCCGCCGCAAAGAGCATCGTCGTCGCGGGCGGCGGTCCAACAGGCGTCGAGACCGCCGGCGAGCTGGGCGAGCACCTGAACGGCCGCGCCGGCTACCTCAGCTCCAAGCTGGAGAACCCCAAAGTGCCTATCACGCTCGTGACGGCGGGCTCGGAGCTTCTGCCGATCCTGCGGACCTCGCTCGCGAGGAAGGCTGAGGACATGCTCACCAAGGTTGGCGTTACCGTGGTCAAGAACGCGCGCGTCACGGCCGTCGCGCCGGAACACGCCGGCACGGGCACCGTGGCGGCCAAGACCACGGTGACGCTGAGCACGGGCAAGACGCTCGAGGCGGACCTGTACATTCCGGGGTGCGGCACGACGCCCAACACGGGCTTCCTGTCCAAGGACCTGCTGGCTGCGGACGGGCGCGTGGACACCAACGCCGCGACGCTGCGCGTCGACAAGGCCGGGCCGCGCATCTACGCCATCGGCGACGTGGCCAACTACGCGCGACCGGCCGTGCACTTGATCCTCGCCGCTGTGCCGGTACTCGCAGTAAACATCAAGAAGGACCTGCTGCTCGACGCGGGCAAGGACAAGGCCGCCGTTGGCGAGGACCGCGTCTACAAGGAGGACACCAAGGAGACGCAGATGGTGCCCATCGGCAAGAGCAAGGGCGTCGGGGCCGGCGGCGGGTTCGCCTTGCCGAGCTTCATGGTCTGGTTGATCAAGGGCCGCGATTACTGGCTCTGGACAGTGGGAAAGCTGTGGAGCGGGCAGCAGTGGAACAAGGAAGGCTAATGGTCTTGTGGTAATGGACAGAGTCTGCTGTTGTAATTTGATATCCCCTCTTTTGTCACGCTGGAGAAGGAGCAGCAGCTTTATAGAGTGGAGAACGGGGCCGATGCAGTTGATAATACCTATTAAAGTCTATGAAATTAGTCGGCAAAAGACTGCATGTTTTTGGACAGGCGAGCAGGGCGCTATCAAAGCATTTGTAAAAATAGCCTTGAGAATAATAGTAGGAGCATATCCATTTACTGAGTGCTAACTTACCGCATAACGGCGGGGGCATGAAGTTGGGACAGCCCCCAAGTTGGAACAGTTTCCCCACCAAAAGGCCACAGTTGCACCCTGTTGGATTAAAGGTACGCCTAGAAGGCACCTTGACAGGTAGACAATGGAACCTAGTTGTTCCGTCCCGATCCAGCCCCCTCTGGCACAAAACTGCCACGGTCGCACAAGGACACTCTAGACAGAGAGAATACACACACACACTTCACTCTGATGCCTCGGGGGTGTCCCGGGGTTCATTATAGCAGCTGCTGCTGCTTGGATCTCCGCTGTCTTCATTATATGCTCGTTTGTGAGGGTCTTTCGTCGGTTCACAGGCCAAAGAACGGCAGTACGCTATTCCAAACGCACGATAGCCTCCGTGGCTTCTTTGAGGGCCTTAGCCAGGCAACTGAGGAACCATACTTTGCTAATAGGAGCCGAATCGTTTCACTGACCGAGCTGGTTGATGAGGCGGCTGTAGGCGGCTTTCACCACAGAGAACACGGTCAAATCCAGGGACTGGAAGGTATAAGACTACCTCAGCGAAATAACTACTAATTAGCACATAACCTACCATATAGGCAGGAAAAAAGCTCAGATAAACGTTATTTATATAGCACAGATATATGAATTCATCCGAGCAATGGCTGCTATGTGTTACGAACCAACAAATACCACGGCCTGTTGGAGGGCCAAGGGGAGTACACCAAGAACCAATAGAATCAGAAGCCAGGAACAGAACAATGGGTATTACGGATTACATAACAAAAGTCACATGACGGATCACTGGATCAGGGAGTGAGCCAGTGAGCATCACTCTGGGACAAGGTGATCCTACTCCATCAGTGAGGGAGAGATTGGATATATAAGGACGGACATTTCCTAGCTAGATAGATAGACAGCCTCTGCCTCAGTGATCAATTTAAGCATCTTAGCCAACCCTAAGGTGGGAGAAATCTCCTGACGACTCGACTACACAGTGAACCCATTCCAGACCAAGCCCCAACATCTGAGTGTCTTCTAGTTGACAGAAGCCTCTATCGTCCTTTGTGTTGACTTACCTCAGAACACAAACCTTATAGAACCCTTTAGCCTCATAGGTTAGACGGCTCGTCACAGTTTGCAGGAATGCGGGAGGCTTTAAAGGCTTCACCTTAGCGCGTCTTCTCCACGGACTACCGGTACGGACCTGCCCGAGTCAGTTATCTCAGAACCCCTCCATTCCGCAGATTTACAGTCTACAACAACCGAGCCCGTCTGTTCGCACTCACCCAACACCTTCACTACTCACCCCAGCTCATCCATCATCATGCCTATCGGCTGGTACCTCGCCCAGGGTCTGCACCCGCTCGGCCCCTCCAGCAGCGACGACGAGGAGGGTCCCTGTGAGCTGCCCAATGGCAAGATTGTCTGCGGTTCGCACGGCCTCGTCACGTGTGGAAGATGTTGCACGAGCTACGACTTCGGTGACAACGACGAATTTGAGGAAGACAAGGAAGACGGCGTCGAGGGTGACGACGAGCTCTTTCCCAACACCTTGGCCCGTCTTCTCAGAGAGCGTGGGGTTATCCCGAACCAGCTTGACGAGACCGACTCCGAGGCGCCACATATGCCAGACCGCTTCGGCCCCGAGATGAGGAGAGGTACTGGCCGGGTGTTTCCTACGGTGTTCACTCCGCCCTCGGTTCACATCACCCCGGCTGAGCTGTTCCACGGCAAAGCTACTTATGCTCGATTGACCAGGTAAAACAGCCCAGACATGCATGCAAATTGTTCGAGCTGGCATGGTTTCGCAGCAGGGCAGGAGTATTGACGTGTCAAGTAGATACATCCACCGAGACGACCCCCGAAAGGTCCTTCTCCTCACCGACGGCGCATGCCTAACAACGGCCAGCCGAACCCCAAAGCCGGCTGGGCATTCGTCCACGGCCCGGGCCTCCAAGGCCAGCCCGCCCGGGTGGAGCAGCGGGGTCCATTCGGCGACGAGGGCGCCCAGACCAGCAATAACGCCGAACTCCGCGCCGTCATCGGCGCGCTGCGGTTCCGGCACTGGCCCGGAGAGGGCTTCCGCACCGTCGTCATCACTCCGAGTACGCGGTCCTGGGCGCGACGAAATGGGCTAAGACGTGGATTAAGAATGGGTGGAAGACCAGTAGCGGCAAGAACGGCAAGACGAACGTCAAGAATAGGGACTTGTGGGAGATGCTGCTAGGCGAGGTCGAGCGACGGGAGGAGCAGGGCCTCAAGATTCAGTTTTGGCGCATACCGAGGGAGTGGAATGGTGTTGCTGACGCGGCGGCCAAGAAGGCTTCGGCGGAGGACGAGGCCCCTGGTCAGTGGGAGGAGATGATGGGTCTCTGTATCTGATGCGGTTGAGCTGATCACTTGTACCCTGCGGAGAGCATTGTGGCACAGTGCGCATGAGTTAGTATTGGACGGGGGAAGCTACGGGTTCAGCCCTGGAATGCTCAAGGATGTCCAGTATTGACGGTGTTGGCTGTGTTGATTCACCCTGTCAGCCAGGCTGTACCATCACTGCGCCATCCACACTTGAGTCTGCGGTGTTGACGAATACGAAGTCACATCGTTCTACAGTACCGTCCATGAACTAGGCAGAAGATTGCCAGGAATTCACAAGTGTGGAGGTCACAACGTTAGTCAGTGGCAAGAAACGGTGGATTCCAGGTTGTTGGCTCTGCTCCACCGCCACGTCGATTCACGATGACGGGTTTTATGGTACTCGAGCCTCACCAGCTCGTCTGTTCGGTACCGAGGCATATGAGTACTGGGTATCATGCTCATCGCAAAAGCTCAGCATAGGATGACTAGACTTGCTAGGCGACTGTTGGGTAGCACTCCACATCCTGATGAAGATCCGCTCATGCAGCTCGAATGACTCCGAGTCTCAAGTGTCAGCCGCTCCCCTATCTGCGTATGTCGTGGAAGGTTGGCATGCAGTTGGCTTAAGTATGTGGTCCACCCCGCATTTCCCTCTCCACCAAAACTTTTGGCTGACTCAAAAAACCTTTGAACATCATCGTCAACATTGGGTATGAAAGAAGAAGTCATCCTAGATACTTTCGAAACATTTCCAAAAGTGACTACATCAACAGTACGATAACTGAAGATATGGCGCCTCGTACCGCGGAAGAACTGCAGGCGTTCGGAGTCATGGACCCTGCCATGGTCGCCGTAAGTCAAGTCTTACATCATCATCCCCTCTTGACCTTGACCATTGCTTTCACCTTGATCATCTCTCCTGCGCCACCCTCAGAAAAATACCTCCTGGCCAGACTCTCATATCCAATACTCGGTATGAGCACCTGACTAAAAACACAGGAACTATCCCGCGCCCCAGTGCGCGACCCCCAGCCCAGCGACCCGTACTACGGTGACAACAGCCACGCAGCGCTCCGCGCCCACCGGGCCACCACCCTCCGTGAGAAGCACCACCTGCGGTACATACCCGGGCCGATCCCGGACGCGGTCCACGAGGATGACCGTAAGATCCGCGTGCGCGACGGCGCCGAGATCATGGTGCGGGTCTACCGCCCGGTGAAGGCGCCCGAGGCGGGCAGCCCGCTGGTGGTCATGTACCACGAGGGCGGGTGGTCCATGGGCGATCTGAGCGACGAGGAGACGAACTGTCGGTTATTTGCCAGGGAATTGGGGGCGGTTTGTGTGAATGTTGAGTATAGGTAAGGCTCTTCTCGAAGTAAAGGTGAGGAAGTGGGAAGGCATTGTATTGACAATGTTGGGACTACGCAGATTAGCCCCTGAGTACCGCTTCCCTACGTGGATCAACGACAGCTGGGACGCTTTGAAATGGGTGAGTCTCTCAACCGCTTACACTACGTTACCTTCTCTACCCATGCTTATCACATACGGAATATGCTACTAACACCCCCGTCCCCAGGCCGCCAAAAACGCCACCTCCCTCGGCGCCGACCCGACGCAGGGCTTCCTAGTAGGCGGCGGCTCCGCCGGCGGCAACATCGCCGCCCTGCTCGCGCACCTCGCGCGCGACGAGCAGCTCTCCCCGCCCCTAACGGGCCAATATCTCTGCGTACCCGCCATAACCTGCTTCACGCCCCCAGCCTCTATCCCCGAGCGCTACCGCGCCGAGTACCTGTCCCACCCGTCCGTGACGCCCAACACAGACCCCGTGCTTAAGAGCGGGGAGGACTTCGAGGCTCTGTTGACGCACGTGCTGGGCGGGAGTCTCGATGATCCGCTCATGGTGCCGTTCCTGTACGGCGAGCGCGACGGCAGACATCACGAGCTGCCGCCGGTTTATTTGCAGGTTTGTGGGCTGGATCCGCTGAGGGATGAGGGCTTGGTCTATGAGAGGGTGCTTAGGGAGGAGGCGGGGGTGAGGACAAGGTTGGATCTGTATCCTGGGTTTGGGCATTACTTCTGGACGAACTACCCGGAGTTGACGCGGAGTCGCGAATTTGTGGAGGATACTGTTAAGGGGATTAGATGGCTTTTGGAGCAGAAGGCTTGATTAGATGTGGGCTTCATTGATTGGTTAGGTTTTTTGATCAAGGAGTACATGTATACGGACCTAATAAGATTATTATTGATTACCGATGAAGTGTTCGATCTGGGTCCTCGTGGTGGGCAGTATCGTAGTGGTCAGCCGTTACACTGTCAGCGATCAGTCCCAGAGTCTGTACAAGGAGAGAGCCCCAATACGTGTCAATCAGATACATATGCGAAGGGTGTGCGTAGGAGAGGAAGTCCGAGTGTATACCTTTTGCCGCTCGGAGCAACCCGTCCTCAAAATGCAGGTTGCGTTACATTGACGGGCTCCCATGTCTGGCCTTGCAGCTCGTCCCACGTAGCACTGCATGTAAACACCGCAATAGCTCCGCCATATCGTCACCAACCCAGCCTGCTGCTCAGCAGCACTCATTGAAATCACAGAAGAACTCCAACAAACACGACAAAGCCACCCACCTGGGAGCCCCCATCTTCAACTCGCCCAGCATGCCCAACCTGAAGTCCAAGAATATCCTCATCACCGGCGGCGCCCGGGGCATAGGCCGAGCCACAGCGCGCCACCTCCTCTCCCTCCCCTCCCAGCACCGCGTCTTCCTCATCGACGTCGACGCCGCCGAACTCGCGTACTGCGCCGAATCCCACCTCGCCGCCTACGCGCCCCGCGTCAGCTACACCACCGCCAACCTCCGCGACGGCCAGGCCATCCGCCAAGCCATCGCCGCCGCCGCCGACTTCCTGGGCGGGCGGATCGACGTCCTCATGAACAACGCAGGCATCGTACGCTCGTACTTCACGGCGGGCAACGGCACGATGGAGGACCCGGCCACGGCGGACGAGTGGGCTGCGTACATCGAGACGAACCTCAGCGCGCCGTTCCTGGTCAGTCAGGCGTGCATCCCGTACATGAAGGCGCAGGCTGCGGCCGTGGAGGGCAGGTCCGAGGAGCTCAAGCACGGGGAACGGAATCTGGATGAGGGCGGGTGCGTCATACACATCTCCAGCTTCCGCGCGCATATTAGTGATCCGAATTGCGAGGGCTACGGCGCGACGAAGGCGGGGCTGTTGGGGCTGACGCAGGCGATGGCGGTGAGTGGGCAGCAGTGGGGCATACGCTGTAATATGATCTCGCCTGGCTGGGTGAGCGTGAAGCATGAGTGTCGCGAGGGCGATGAGGAGGTGGCTGGGAAGTTGGGGAAGAAAGAGGTGGCGCCGCATGAGAAGGAAGTGGAGGAGGCGAGGATGGAGGTGTGGGCTGGTAATCATGGGGAAGAGCAGCATGCGCATCAGCCTGCGGGACGGGTGGGGAGGGGAGAAGATATTGCGGAGGCCGTGGAGTATGTGATGAATGCTGGGTTTATCAGTGGGCAGGAGGTCATTGTGGATGGAGGCGCGAGTCGGGTGAAGAAGACGCCGTAGGCGTTTGTGTGCAGGCTATGGGAGAAATGGGAGATGACGACGAGGGCATAATAGATGATATATGAATGATAATGATGAGATGACACCACGAGTGCGGGAAGCAGAAATGTCTTCGTGATAAGTACCTACTGTTCCGGGTCGAGCATGCAATGTACCTAGGTACTTTTCCTGCTCGAGGCAGTCAGGTTATGTATAGGGTAATGATCAAGACTGGGGTGGCTTGTACAGCCCTGCGCTCGTGACCGAACCTCGGAGATGAGCTTATATCATAAACCCCCTTCGAGAGCAGCGAAGTATTGCAATTAGTTACTACTCATCGTGGGACACTAAACCCAAAAGGCTGGCGGTGCTCGTTAAAGCACAACATGAGGCATAGAGTGGGCTCGGACCAGTCAACATATGCCTTTTTAAATGCGTCTGGAAGATTAGGCTTCAACCACAGCATCGGTGACCAATACCTGAACTTCCTCATACTCTCTCGAACCTCACAATCAACCCACCAGCGGGTCTATATGTTACACTCGGATTTGCCAACTTGACTCCCCTCCCAACCTCTTCCTCGCCGCCAGTCAACAGCTCCCTCTCTGCCCCATCCGTCTTATCATCCCAGCGCTCAATACCGACGAACCGCCATTTAATGATAAGTTCAATAAGAAATGCCTTCATCTCTATCAGAGAGAAGTTCTTGCCGGGACACATACGTGGCCCCTGGATGAACGGCTCGAATGCGTAGGGGCTGGCCGCGTCACCTGTCAGGTGGTCCCATCGGCCTGGGTTGAAGACGGCTGCGTCTGGTCCCCAGACCCCCTGGTTCTGGTGCATGATGTGCATGTTGAGGTCGATCTGCGTGCCTTTGGGTATGTGGACTCCCTGAATCACGAGGTCTTTGGCTGCTTGTCGAGATGACATGATGGCTGTGGATGAATGGATTAGCTCGGTTGGTTTGTCATGGAGCAGGAAGCTTGGGGTGCGTCGGAAGGTAGGACGCACGTGGCGAGTGCACACGGAGGACTTCGCGCACAAAGTTGTTCAAATATGGCAGTCTGCTTATCTCGTCGTAGTTAGGCTTCGGGCTGGCCTTCAGCAGGGTCTGAATCTCGGTTCGTAGGCGGGCTTGTACGCCATGATTGGTCGCCAGCACGTAGAGCGCCCAAGTCAACGTGGTTGATGAGGTTTCGTGGCCTGTCTCAGGTTAAAGTCAGTTGGACGGCTCATGTCCGCGACGAGGGGGTGTACTGGACCTGCTGATGTGAAGTTGAGTAGCTGCTTTTATCAGCATGCGCGAAATAACCTGGTCATGGACGCGACGACTTACATGACCGATGATGTCGTCAGTAGTCCACGTTTCTTTCCCCGTCTGTTGTCGCTGTGCTTCAGCCTCTTCGAGCATGTATGTGAGAAGATCTCGGGACTCGCCTACTTCCCTCTTGAATGTCCCGTCACTCAAGTCTGTCGTGCGCTTCTCAATGATATCTCGCAACATCCTCCTAAGGTCGCTGCTGGCCTGGATGAATTTCCGGTTGGCCTCTAGAGGAATGAATCGTCGAATAGGGAGGAAGGCGTTTATGACCCATATCAGCGTGCCTAGGGGTCCTTGTTGAAGCATCCTATGGTATAACTCATTGAATCCCACAGGGTAGATGGATGACAGGGTGTCTAGCTCAATCCCTAGGACCGTTACACCTATTGTATCCATGGTTGACTTGGACAAGACATCGGTCACTGGGATGAAGCGGTCAGATAGCTCCATTCGCCGTACGAGAAGGGTCAGTCAACATACCTTCAATAGAGGCGCGTGAGCCGGTCCCCATCGCGCTATCGAATACTTCGGACAGGCTTTTCGCTTCGTCCTGAAAGACGGGCACGATCTTCCTCATGCTCGGAACCGAGAACGGACCAGCCAGTAGCTTTCGCTGGTGCCTGTGATGCTCCCCTTCCGCGAACAACAAACCTGTTCCCGCGATCTCACCCACCAAGCGGGCGAAGAACGGTGGCTTGACGAAATCGTAGACATGACTTTGAAGCACGGCTTTGTGCGCAGCTAAGCTGTTCACCAGCAACGCTTCCTTGCCGGCGATGGAGAGGTACCGGATGAAGGGCGCGTCGGGCCATTTGCGCGACCACTCTAGCTGGACACCGACGGGGCTCTCAGCCCTGAATTTCTTCAACTCCTGCCCTAGCAGGAGGTTGTGGTCCTCGTGAATGTCAGATGTATATACCGCACTGGCCTGTCGGCACGGGACTGCTGAGTGTAGGCTCACCTTCGGCCCAGGCAGATGGCGGAGCGGCGAGAAGAAATTGGGGAAAATAATGATACGATAGATCTCGTGGGCGACGTATTGAAGACAGAAGAAGATCTGGGCCCACTTCAGAATTCGGAAACCATCGGTCGGTGACAGCAGAGCATAGAGGCACAGGGCCGTATGTACCGCCAACCGTATAACATTCATCTCAACTTTGGGATTACTGAAGATTTACAGCTCACATCAGTTCGGACGGAGAGTCGGGGAGGATATGAGCTGGAATTGCTGTGATATATGAGCGTACGTATTTCGATAATGGGTGTTAGTAAGCCACCAAGGCGTGCATGCTTGGTGGATGGCACACCACGCGGGTGGCGTCAGCAGCTTGTACATTTCTGGCTCGAGCTGAGATGATGGCTGCGGTCAGTGGAATGACCTATATCATCGACCTTTTCTCCAATCAAAGGAAGGAAGTTCCGACATTCCAAGGAAACTTTTGCCCCAGAAAGGTATCGATGTTGAGAAGAAGGGGAGTCGCTGGTTATTTGAACCCTACACCACACAGCTTCTTGACGGAGGTGGTTGGTGACGGTAGATTATTTATTAGCATCGGAGACGTTCAAGCTTCGATATGTTCTAGCTCGCCGCCGTCCATAAAAAACAACACGTGGAACCATATGAAAACGGTTGCCAACTTTGCTGCATCACCATCTCGCCAGGTGAGCCACTGCAAGGCTGGCTGCATGGATGTGATGGGTTACATTGTTCGTGTGGGGCTCGTTACTCCATTGTCCCGTCCCGTTACTCCATGGCTGAGTTACTCCATGCCAGTAGGGCCAGAACACTGCTGTCTCCCGCACTCAAAGGTTTCTAGGTACCTAGGCAAGTAGAATTCCAATCTCACCCAGATACCACAGGTTAATTCGCTGGCTTGGATTGGCTAATCTGCAGAGGGTCATATAAGGTCATGCTTCATGGATGCTCCATGCTGCCGCAGTTCAGCTCCTGCTCAGCACGGCTGATAAGAAGCCTTATCGCCCCCACTGGCTTTGTTGACACATCCGAGCTGCGATCCCTGCAAGCCGAGATACAGTCGGGTATGATCGCATGAGCGAAGTGTCAGAAGTGTCATTCCGACCTTCCTCCCATTTCTGTTCTTGCGCCTCTACTCCCAACGCTTCACCTGCTTTTCTCGTACTTTACCAGGCTACTGAACTGCATAGTTAAAGAAGCACCGTTGCATCGAGTATGACCCAACACACGCCCGACTTCCTGCGACAGCGCAGCTCCAACATGTCTCTCCGAATGGCCGCCGCCCTAACCGCCGCTCCAGCTGCCCCGAGTAACACCTTGTTGTCGAGCTTCGCGAACCCCTCCGATTTCGAAACGAAGCCGTCCATGTCCGCTGCCGAGAAAGCCTTCGTGGTTGGCGAGCTGGACCTCCACGGAGCCGTGACCCTATGCGATTCCTGCTACAGCGACATACCCGAACGAAGGACGGATGCGCTGCGTCTACAGCTCACCGGCCAGAAGGGCTCATGCGCGGCTTGTGAGGTCATGGCATCGAAGCCCGAAGCATTCACCGAGCCCTTCTGCAGCTTCTTGAAGGAGAACCCGACCATATTCCATGCCGTCGACTACTTCAAGAGCAAGATGACGTCTCTTGGCTATACCGAGGTCAGTATGGCTGATTGACTCGCCCGGGCTGTGCACATATGCTGAGACCGCCAACTCATAGCTTACCTCTCGTGACGATTGGTCCGGTAAGCTGGAGACGGGTGGAAAGTACTTCGTGACTCGAAACGGCAGCTCCACCATCGCATTTACCGTCGGAAAGGCCTACAAACCCGGGAACGGAGTAGCTATGATCGCTGGTCACATCGATGCCCTCACTGCAAAGCTGAAGCCGGTCAGCAACAAGCCAAGCAAGGCTGGTTATATACAATTAGGAGTGGCTCCATACGCAGGTGCACTGAACCAAACGTGGTGGGACAGAGATCTTAGCATAGGTGGACGAGTGATTGTGCGAGACGGATCAGGCAAGACGTCGTCCAAGCTCGTCAAGCTTGACTGGCCGAGTAGGTACTTCTAGAAGCACAAGCTGCTCTATTGTGCTAACGGAATCTAGTTGCTCGCGTCCCGACGCTGGCACCCCATTTCGGTGTTGGTATGATGGGCCAGAACAACGCGGAAACTGAGGCGGTTCCCATCATCGGGCTCGACAACTCTGACCTGGCCTCGTCCGACTCGAAGCCAGCAAAGGCATTGGGTCCGGCCGGATCGTTCGTGGCTACTCAACCGCCGAGGCTTGTCCAGTTAATTTCCAAAGAACTCGGGATCAAGGACCACTCTCAGATTGTCAACTGGGAGTTGGAGCTCTTCGATCTGCAGCCAGCAACTGTTGGCGGCATGGACAAGGAGTTCATCTTCGCTGGGCGAATCGACGACAAGCTATGCAGCTGGGCAGCGTTTCAGGGCCTTTTGTCCTCGGAGATGAACGACGACGATGGTGCCATCAAGATGGTAGCGCTGTTTGACGACGAAGAGATCGGCTCGTTACTGCGTCAAGGCGCCAAGGGCAACTTTCTGCCCTCGGTCATCGAGAGAGCGGTCGAGTCGCTTTGCGGCAAGGACAAGCCGTACGGTCCTGGTGTCATAGGTCAGACCTACGCAAGTTCGTTCCTTGTCTCGGCCGACGTTACTCACGCCATAAATCCCAACTTCGCTGCGAAATACCTAGATGACCATGCGCCTCGCCTGAATGTGGGAATCTGCATTTGCGCCGACAGCAATGGCCATATGACAACCGACTCGGTTTCCACGGCCATCCTGACGAGGGTGTGTGAGCTGAGCGACTGCACGCCACAGACCTTCATGATCCGAAATGACTCGAGGAGTGGTGGTACGGTGGGCCCGACGCTGAGCTCCATGATGGGTGTCAAGGCCGCCGACGCTGGTATGCCCCAACTGAGCATGCACTCGGTTCGTGCCACGTGTGGTTCGCTCGATCCGGGCTTGGGTGTCAAGTTCTTTAAGGGTTTCTTGGACATGTGGGAGAAGGTTGATGCCGAGTGGCAGTAGAGGGGGGGCTCAACACCTCTCAGTGTACTCATATAAGGCCGCCGTGCACGATATGCTTTTGACTTTAATTAGATGCACAACGATCTAAACGCGAACTCTAGCTAGAAATACCATTCAAAGCGGTTATCTCATCATGATACATCTAATGTTTATGCGCGTATAACATGTACCTAAACCTTTACCGATGGTCAGGAACCGACACCCGGGCGGTCCCGTCCCGTTCCCAGCAGCCCGGCACGTGCCTGGTATCCTATTTTCGGAACGCCACCCTGTCACACGCGGGGCCGATGGGGCGTTGATCCTCTCGAACCTCGGGAGTCTCCACCGTACCACGTGGGAATGATGGGATTGGAAGTTCTGGAATGGATGGAAGGATGGATGGATCTCCATATTTGGCCGCTGTGCTGTGCATGACGAGATCTTCACATCACCAAATCGGGTGCCCAGGCTCCCGGTCGCCCACAATACGTCAAGAGGCGCGGAGCCCCTGCCCGTAAGGTTGTCGATGGGAATGTGGAGGCCAAGATGATGACGCCGTTGGATCTCGCTTGAAGCAAGATGACACGAGACCAGCCAACAATCCAATTGCAAGCTGTCATTGGCAGCCTTCCCAACGCCAGCAGCAGTTCGGACTTGGGTTTTTTATTTCTTATTCTCGTCCGGAGGTACTACACACAGTTGCTCACACTCACTCCATCACCGTGTCGTCCGTGATCCCTAGCCTCTTCGTCTCATATGTTCATTGTCTGCTGCCTACTGCCTTCTCAGCTGAAGTCACATAATCCATTGTTCTTTCCACTGCCATTTGATCGTTACGTTGATACCCATTAGATTTCTTGTTCTTAGACAAAGATTTGTCTCCCGCTGAAGAGCCATACGCTCCAGTCCGGAGAAATAGAAGCCGCCGCCACCTGGGGGCCCGGCGCGAACCAGATAATCAACAGAGCCCCTTTCGGCTGGGCGTAGGAACTTGGTTGTGATCGGACTGTCACTTTTTCTCTAGGTCTCGCGTGCCAACAGCATCCCCCTTTCCTATTTCTCTCGGTGGAAGATACAAATCCAACGGCCGCCAGCTTGCTCACCCACGACCACGACGGCACCGAAGACGAGGTCCAACCTCGCTTCGAAGACCGATGGCCCAGCCAGCAGGCACCGCCTCCACTGACAAGTGGTCCTTCTTCCCGCGCCTGAACCCAGTTCCTCGCTTTCCCGAATACTCCGGACCGTACCAGGTCGGCACCGTCGATGTCGAAATTCCCGTCTCAGAGCTGGACTCCCCGGCACCCGCACCGGATAACACGGCCGAGATCGAGACGGTCCAGTTCCGCGTGTACTACCCTTGCCATCCCGACTCTAGGGGCAAGCGCATAACTTGGCTGCCGGCGCCGCAGCGGGATCACCTGTCTGCGTACATGCAGTTCTTGGGCGTTGGGAACTTCATGGCCCAGGCTGTCTCGTAAGTTGCGAGCGAGCCTCTACTGTGTTGTTAGCAATGGATCACATAACTGACGTACCGCTACTCCAGCTTCCTTCCACGACATCTATACTACACGACGATACCCGCGATCAAGAATGCGCCGGTCCTCGAGCCCGAGACGTCCAACAAGCGATGGCCGACAGCAATCTTCTCGCACGGGCTCGGCGGCAGCCGCAATGCATACTCGCAGTTCGTCGGATCGCTGGCCTCACACGGCGTAGTGGTGTTCTGCCCCGATCACCGAGATGGGAGTCCTGTCATATCATACGTCCGAATCCCCTCAGAGCAGGACCGGTACCTTATACGGAACACACGGCGTGTCATACCATACCAACGGATCTCGCACGACCCGACAGAAGAGGTCCACGAACTGCGGAATAAACAGCTGCGGATACGGCTCTGGGAGCTGGGGCTAGTCCACGATGCGATTTTAGGGATGGACAAGGGTAGCCCGCTCACGAATTTGAACAAGACCACGCCCTCCCTCGACCAGTTTGTCAACCGGCTACACATCCACGAGCCCGGTAGCCTCATCTTCGCAGGTCACAGCTTTGGCGCCGCCTCTGTGGTGCAGCTGCTCAAATCCACATACTACTCCGGACGGCCCGAACTGAGCTCCATGGCCTCGCCGCTGTATACGCCGTCGCGCGACTCGGCGCTCTGCAGGCAGATCACACCGCGCAACGTCACGATCCTGCTGGATATGTGGTGCTTCCCGCTCCTCGCCAAGTCGACGAAGCCGCTCTTCGACCTGCCGCTGCCCGCATACGACTCTACCGGTGCTGAAACTGCAACCCCGGCCCCAGGCGGCCCCGCCATCCTGGCCGTCGAGTCCGAGCACTTCTACAAATGGACCGAGCACCTGCACACCAGCGCCCGCGTCCTTTCCCCGCGGCCTTCCGCCCCGCACGTCGAAGCGGCCGCCTTCGACCAACCGGGGGGCCGTCTGCCAACACCCAACTTCTTCTACGTGCAGCGCAGCGCGCACCTCAACCAGTCCGATTTCGGGGTACTGTTCCCCTGGGTCACGCACAAGGTCTTCGGGTCCGAAGACCCGGAGGGCGTGATGCGGCTTAATGTCAGGGCGGCGCTGCAGGTGCTGAGGGTTAATGGGGTGGCGGTGGCGCGGACGGGGAGGGGGGATCTTGGGGATGGGGGTGAAGATGCGAGGACAGGTAAAGGGGAGACGGACGAAAGTGACGGCGACGCCGCTATGAGAGAAAAGGGGTCGGTGGACGGGAAGTCTGACGACAGGGCCATCCTCGACCGTAGTGGGAGTGCTGGGGTCGAGGGGTGGCGGTTCATCGATATCGTGGGCATGGGCGAGGTGGCTGACAAAGACGGGAAGGTCAAGCGGGACGATGAGGCTGTAGATGAGCAGGAGTCCGAGATGGCGGGGGTTCTTGAGCCGGGGGTTGCTGAGGATGGAAAGGGTGGGAAGGGTGCCCTTCCGTGAGGTTTTGTTCTGGGGCGTTTGGGGAGCGTGTGTTTTTCTGCACATGGTAACGGGGTCTACATGGAGTTTGCTGAAAAGGATCTGGCGTTTGAATAGAGTCATGGTGGTTCAATGTTTTGGAGCTGGTGTAGATTGAGGAACGGTTCTTGGTTCGGTGGAGTGTCGGCCCCTGTTTCGACGGCTGGCTTGTACGAGTATGTAAATGTAGCATATTAGAATCCTATCTCTGTGCGTAAAAATTAGCGATACGTACAAGTAAGAATAAGAAGTCCTGACATGTTGTCTGTCAACCGTACTCGGCTCATAGGGCGATGGTCTAGGGGAAGGTCTTCGTTAGTTTCACGCCCCTTTCGAAACGAATTTCACAGTCTTGGCCACTCGGTAGAATCTCAGCACGCGGACCTTGGATGTCATCGCTCAGTTCGATGTCGATGGCTCCCGGTCCCATGTTGGGTTTAGGCGGGCGGGCAACTGTCTGGTTGATGACTTTCCGCGAATGCTTCAACACGTTGTCTAGCACCAGTTAGTTAGTCGAGTACCGAGAGGGCTCCCGGATAGAATTCAAGGAATAGTTTCGGGGCGCTGCTTGATTAGAGTGGCGGAATCTTCGTATCCTTTTCCTTTCGACTTTGCGTAACACCTGTGTAAGCCGAAGAACTACGACGTGGCCTCGGAAGCCTATCACGAGAAATGGCTATGCGGTGATAGCAGATTATAATTTATGGACGAGCTGCGGGTTGTGTCTGTTTAAGAGTAACCGAGATATACCGTTCAAGATTAACCGAGATATAACTTGACAAGCTCGAGGTGCAACCAACCGCGCGGGAACAAGACAACATGGCAATAGTTTTCGCGGAGGAGAATGATGACTAGGGACACTTTCCAGCGTATCGAATCAGTGTGGGAGCGGTCCCCGGTATTTACAGGCGTTGCCGCCTCGGAAGCAGGGCTCGGACAGGTATCGAGCCGGAGAAGGTGTGTCAGATCATATTGGAAATGATTTCGAGAATAATGCAGTGTGCTGCAGGAAAGTCAGTCGGGGATGGGAAAAATCCAAAAGCCTAACTGAAAGTCATGACTGCTGAATCATCAGTACCCAACCTTGTTGCTGCTTTCGCTGCCTATAGACATCAGAGCTCCCCTGTTTCGAAACAACCACCTGGCGAAGTTAGGATTCATGCTGAGCCCCTGTGACGAGTGCGAGAGGTGCCAGTGGGTAAATCATGTCAGCCCGGGATCATAGTGTAACTCTGTACGAGCTATAGCTTTGGCATTGGTACCGCGACCCGATATCCTACAACTGGGTGCAGCGATGATATGTCCTGGTTGACGAGATCACTCCATTTAGCATACACCCTTAATGCTGTACACTGAAGTCTCATCTTTTACCAACAATGTGGTCCGCTCCACCACATCAGATACACAGCCCCTCGAGATCCGTCCACTCCTCCACCTCGTCTTCCTTCGCTGCCGCCTCTGCAGCCGCATTCGCGACTGTGTTCCAACCGCTAGGAATGAGCCAAGACTGAACTGACAAGCCTTCGTCTTCCAGTCTCTCCACCTCACCAAGGAACGTCTCCCAGTAGTCATAATGCTTGTTTCTGCGGAGCGGGTTTTTCTTCCGTCCCTTCCAGATCTTCCTCTTGAGGTCATCAGTGTTGCGACCGTATACATACTCCGAGTCCGTGGCGATGACAGCGGAAGTGAAGCCCTCGTCTGCCCAGCCCCGGAAGCGTAGGGCAGCAATAACCGCGCGGAGCTCCGCTCGGAAGATGTTTGGCTGGTTATCGTCGCCGAATGGGCCTTTCTTCTCCAGACGACCCGACACCACCTGCGGCTGCCCTGCGAGACCGGGGCCATGAACGAAAGCCCAGCCTTTACCGCGGCCGTTTTTCGCGCGCGCGCCACCGGTGAATAGGAGGAATTTCTGAGGGTCCCGATGATGAATGTAACTATTTGGCCTGTTAGCATTGCTGTGGTCCGTCGGCATGTCTGAACCTTGCATACCCAGTAGTCCGCGTAGAGGTAGCCCGGCCAGGGAACAGCTCAGTTGGGGTATCAGAAGCATTGAATGGGCAGACAAGCTTAGGAAATACTCGGCCGGTACCGCGTCTCTTCTCAGGGCACGACCAAGCGAGGGGCTGCGGCGGAGTTTCAGGCTCGCTTTCAGCAAGTGCAAGCGCGGCCTCTGCACGCTTGCGGGCCAGGGAGTTGGGATGCTGGTATCGAGGGGGGCCGGTTGCTTGAACACTGGTGTTGCGAGCGGCGGTAACAGCCAATCCGGCGTCGATAGCTGCTTCTTTCTTACTACTGTTCTTCTTGCGGTGGGTTTTTTGCTTTAATCCGTGCTTTTCTCCTTCTTTTTCGTTACTTAGGCCATCGTCGTTGGTGAGGTTGTAGTCCGTGCAACATGCCGCACAAGTGATGAGACCACGCGAAGTGCAGACAAGTTGGCCATCCGGCAGCCTGCAGGGTCCCTTCTCTTCATCGCTGCTCGAGCCGGGTTCAAGAGGGTATAGGCCTTGAGCAAGGTACCATCAGAGAGGAGGCATGGTGATGGGTTTGATGCCAAGAAGTTTGGTCGGGTGAAGGGTCGATGGGCACAAAAGGAAACGGGAATGTAAGTCTGCAAGACATGGAGACTGATAAGATAATGTGCACTGTTGCTATGCCGCAGTATGCACTGTCAGTTGCCCTAGAACCCCGTGTTCTGTGTGCGGTGTGCTTGGGCGGGTGTTAGGGTAGTCGTCTGGGTTACGGTTGGTTCTGACAATCCTTAACGCCGTACACATGGCTACATGTAGTAACCATTAAATAGAAAAATTGGGGGTCTTGATGATTCAATCTCTGATGAGTTCGTATCAAGTACAACTTCCTCTGCAAGCTCCGTAAGGTATGCGCTCCCCTCAAAAAGAACATACTGCATACTCCCTACTTATGATCATCATCACTCCTCTCACCCCGAACCAAGCCCACAGCCCTTCGGACCTCCATCCGCTCATCAAGCATACTGCCAGTCTCATCGTCATCGTCCTCATCCTCGTCACTCCGAACATCCTCCGCAGACTCCGCTTCGGCGTCAATAGTCGGCTCTGCCGGTCGTCTCTTCTTCTCGAAGTCCTGCTTGTGCGCATCTGCCATGATCCCCCTTATGGACTTGGCTCTGGTCAATTGGAATGTCTTTCGTCTGCGCAGTCCCTCAACGTCGCGGGGCGGAGCCTCGTCAGGTGCCGTTCCGGCCCCTTGTGCTCGGGCCTGAACAGAAGCCCCGGCTGGGTTGACATCGGCGCCACTGGCGACTGCGCGTTTGCTCGGCTCTTGCTCGGTCGAACTTGCACGCTCAACTAGTGGTTCATGCTCAAAGTGGTAGGGTAGAGGCAAATCGCGGCTTGCTTTGTACTGAGACACGTTGCCGCAGTGCTCGTTCTCCACGCGGAGCAGTGCCCACATGCCACGGCGAACTGCCTCGGCCAGCGCGACAAGAAACGACACATAAGTGCTGTGCTGTTTGTCATATGTGAAGATCGCATAGAAGATCCAGCCGAACCGAAGGATCGGGTCAATGATCATAATGGCATAGTACACCCAGCGCCGCTTCAACGCTAAGATATCTCGCAAGAAGCGGTGCTGGGAATCTTGTTGGAGTAGGGAGAAATCCATAAACAGATCCCAGATTGCTAAGCTTATGTCAGATGCGTCCCAAAATGTGGAGGTAGATCGAAATGCACTTACACGTATAGATAGAGTTGATGGTAGCAACAGTGACGAACAGTGCCAGGTTGGTATGGTTGCCGTTTATGCGATACAACGACAGTATGATGGCAGTCAGGATAGTCGCGCCGTACTTACCGCAGTTGACAAGGTGCGGAAAGACGTTCTTGGTATCGTAATATCGGCGTAGGCACTGTAAAGCACGCCAAATGGGCGGCAGGGCAGTAAAGAAGCCTAGCAAGCGAGAATGGTTCGAGTTGCACTGAGGGGGGTTGTTCCAATAGTGTGCATAGAGACAGAAGAACAGCTCTACATTCTGTCTCCAACGTTAGCCATGCAGGGCGAAACAGTAGTTGTAAACGGTATCGCTTCGACTTACAGCGGTTGAGTATGTTAACGAGCAATAGATGTCGCCCAAAAAGAAATCCCGAAATTCGACGGGGTACAGACCGGCGAAGAAGAGCCGATACTATCATGAGTTAGCATATAGCCTCAATGCTAGAGATGGCATACTCACATGCGAATACGCAAACCATTGGCGGCTTCGATGATACAGGATTGGAGCGGGGAGCAGGATGATGATCAATGAGATGAACACCAGGATGACTGGATAGTAAAGAAAAAGCTCATCGCCTCCGACTCCGCTAAAGTTCACCCAGAAGAACACCCCGAAGAGCAGCAGGAATAAGCTTGGGAAGCTTGCTAGTTGTCTCCAGTCCAGGCTGTGGCGGGTATCGAATTCGAAAATGAAGGGGTAGTTGACCCTGTTTCCTCTCCATATGTAGCAGTCAATGCAGAAGAGGGCAAAAAGGAAGACCATCAGGAAGTAGCCGCCGTATATCTGCAACAGGTAGCTAGTCCGTTGTCGGATTACCGGATCTGGGTCGAAGAGCATTTGGACACCATAGACCAATCCTTGAACCGCGAACACGGCGCCGATGCCAATGAATAGTCCATTGCGGAATGCAATACCAGACTCGTCGCTCGGTGGTCGGTTCACGCGACGGAGCTTTCCTGCAGCAAGCTTGCGGTTCCCCTTCTCGAAGTATCTTGCGTAGAGATCCTCAACAGCCCTGATATGACCATCGATGATGTCACTGTTGACGAACCACGACTTGCCGACCTTCTCGTTCATATATCGGTAGGGCGGGCGAGCATTGACTGTCTTGTCGTACTTCTTGTTGAGCTTTCGAAACGCTGTTCGATTCAATAGGGCGTATGACTTGAGCAGCTCTAGTCCGCGGTAGAACTCCTGTAGCGCTAGCTTCAGCTTGCGCTTTGCTGTCTTGTAGGGTACACTGTGGTCATGTGGTCTCCTGGTGTAGTCGCGCCTTTCATCCCCTCCCATACCTCCTATTATGGGGGTCGGTACCATGCCCACAAAGGCTTTCGAGTTCTCACCAGGCTTGAAGATTTTTGCCTTGATTGGATTGATCCAGTTTTGAGCGCCATCGTAGCCAGTAGCCTTTCGGCTCGCCTCGTGGGCCTCTGCAACCTCATGTTCTTTGTGACGTTTCATATCAGCTAGCTCTTGAGTACGCCGGTTTCGCATCTCGTGTAGCTGCTCTCGCAAGGCTGTCAAGCGATGACCTGCCTGTTCCTCTTTTTGGCGATAAAATGTGTCGACCTTGTTGAGCTCGCTGTCTAGAAAGTCGAAGAACTCCCTTTCCCGTTGTCGTATCGTATCCAGCGCCTGCAGGTCGTAGCCAAACTTGGTACTCTCAGCCGGACCCGGCTGCTGGCCCGCGGAGAAGAAACGACGGAGCCGGCCTGGCGATGCAGTCTGCTGGGACAATGTGCTAGAACGGGGAAGAGTAGCCGCTTGGAGGCCTCTAGGAACAGTCGGCTCCATAGACACACTACGCTGCATGGCCGAACGACTGACTGACTGGCGCAACATATCCGTAGAATTCGGTGCTACTTCGCTGGTATGCGACGGCACACGTATTGCTGGAGCTGGCAGCTCAAACATTGTGCGGCTGTCATGCTTGGCCAGATGCGATTCGGGCGGCGGCGTAGCCACGAAGCTTCCATAGCTTCCCTCGTTGCCCGGCAATCGGGTCAGCGAGTGACGCTCCGTAGGTACCGGCATCGCAACAGGACCCGTCCGTGCTGTGCGACCCATGGGTGCCGGGCTGGTCCGCAAGGGGCCATCATCGTCACCTGAATCTTCGGAACTTGGTCCTCTGGTAGCACTTTGTTGGCGGTAGGATAAGGGACTCGGACGATGAGGCTGGTTCTCGCGTGGCGGCCAGTCACCTTTTCGGCCCGTTCCCCGTGGCGTTCCACTTGCCCGGTTGATAGCCCGTGCCACGCCCTTGACATACTTCTTCCCAGCCTTGTAGTTGAGATATTTGATCCTCCATTCTTTCGGTGTGCGGCCAACGGTCAGCGCTGGTCACTCTGCTCGGGGGTGTCTCATACATCGTAGGGGGCGTGTAGAGACATCTGATTGGACAACTCACCTGGGACAAGATCCTGCTCCAGCTCTTTGGCGAATTTCATGACGTCAGCCCCTGAGCCGCAATTGCGACTGACGACGGCCACTCAGTCCCGACCGGAGTCAATGTAATTGAGTGCTGTGCAGTGAGTGTGTGAAAAGGTGATGTGAAAACAGACAACCTGTGCTTCTGCTCAAGACGTTGAAGTCTGAGATTGGCCGAGGAATTCTCAAAGCAATTGCCACTGGCGCATTCTTTGACTTCGCAAAAACGGGAAGATGATGTGTGGTCCGTGGTCCGTCCTGACTGCTCAGCTGCCCAGTGAGTGATCAGGAGTGATCGCCAATTGGACGGACGGCATCTCCGGTGCCTTTGGTGGGGTACCCCTGAGCTAACCTAATATAGTAAGTACTAGTCTCCAAACGTATCCACTTTCCCCCTGGGCCTTATGTATTAGAGACCACGGCAGCACGGGTCTAGACTTGACACTATCCACTGATCCGACACTTCCACTCCCCTATTCGAGCCAGCACACTGTCACTCATCGATGTGATGGCTCTCAAAGCGCTTGCACTTCTTACCGCGGTCTGACTATTCATCGCCATGCGTTAAGCCCTAAGCTGGAAGCCTGCTCGAATTTGTGACGGGCTGCCTTTTGCGCCTGGAGGGCCGGCACACTACCGCAACACGTATCGGGAGTATCGCCTATCAAATGGAACAGGTTTTCCACCCGTATCCGATTCTTCTGAACTGTGGATTTTAGGGGGACGAGGTGAGAGTTCTCGATTCCCCGGGTCTGCGGCAGCTGATGGGGACAAGGGCTGCCTCGGGCTCTGTATCGCAAAGCCAACCTAGATAGTATATCTGTTTTCATAGCTTTTCGGCCCGGTCAGCTGATTCAGGCGACGTCGTACACCTAGAAGAAGCTGGATGTGTAACAGTTCGTCAAAGAGCTTGAAGAAGAAAAATAAGAAAAATCGTAGGGCTATGAGAAGCGTAAAGCTGGTCTTTATTCGAACCTAGTTCTAAGAACGCCTAGGTACCTCTTACTTACCAGGGAGTTGGACATGAGAGAAGCCACTATCGATAGGCGCAGGTGTTGCAATATATTGGCTCTTTTACTGGTAGCTACGGGCATCGTGCTGTGTCAAGGTGACACCTGTATAACCTCATCTGCAATATATGAACTGAGCAGAGGAAATGAGCCCGTGCTGGATTGCTGGACTATACCCTACGAAAGAGATTTATTCACATTCCGCGTTCCTCCGCTTTTGGGCTTTATATACTTTGCCCATCGTATGGCTATGGACAAGACCTTCAGCGCCTCAATCGGCGGAATCGGTAATGCTTCATGTGGAAGATACTACATTCAAAGAGACCGGATGGAAGCTGGGCATGCTATTGTCCACGTTTTCGTTTCAATGTGATTCTTAAAGAACTTACGCTTGCACCTAGAGATTTAAGACTTGCACATTATTTTCAGCCAACATTGGACTTTTGGGGAGGTTGGTTGGCTGGTTGGTTGCAGTCTTTAACGAAGCTGCGTAGTAGCATTCCAGCACCAATGACCATGGCCACAGGGGCGATGGGACGTGACAAGCGGTCCAGCACCATCTACCTGTGCTAGCTGCGTACATGGTATGATGAAGGCTCCCGACGTCAATTCAAACCTCCGTCAGGGTGAGGGTATCAGGGCCTCTAGTCCACTTGTTGTAGGACTTACAGGACAGCGTTTCGTTGTTCCTTACCGCTGTATATGCCAGCGTGTGGGATATGGGTGTCGGTTACGTCTCAGCAGGGCTATGTGAGAGTGTGGGTTGGTTATCGATCACAGCACGAATGTGCTGGCCTCTTGCTGCCCAGATCTTTAGGGAGGCCGGTCTTGATGACGCTTTCACACGAGGTCCGAGGATGGATGGCGAAGTGTACCTAACGTACGAGCATCTCGATTCACCGACCAACTGAATGTATTCGCATGGGTAGAGAAAAGTTGGGCCGCTGATTTATTATTGAGAGGACATGCAATTGTAATATGATGTAACTCCTAATCCGATATGCAGTAGATAAATGCGTGAGCGCCGGTGTAAATTTTATGAACCCAATGCTCCACCACGATCAACGCGGACCTCGCTCCCGATGTTCACTATATCCGTTAGCTATGTTACCATACTTCACTCCTGACCTCAATGGCCGTTCACTCACGGTATTTCGACTCGATTTGCCTTGTATGTTGACAGTGAACTCGTTGCGTTTCAGCTTCTCGAATGTCAGCACTTCTCCAGTTGAACAGTGCGTCAGCACGTGACTTTGCTTTGCGGCTCTCTATCGTACCTTAACAGAGTATTGGCCAGGGTAATTGGAGTCAAGGTATTCCTTTAGTCGGTTGGAGCTTACTCTCGACGCCGAGAAGGACATGGACCGCGTTCCATTCTCGCCGGGCTGCGAAAACGACGGCGTCACGGCGGTCTGCGAGCCGTGTTGTCTTGGCCGTTGGGGTGACATCGTGGACGGATATACCGGGCTGTTCTCGGCGGAGCGGGTGAATTTGGAGCGATGATTTAGGCATCAAGGTCTTACGAGGATGGTTCCTCGGACCTTATATCTTCAACTGGCAACGGCGGCGAAGTTTTGCAAATTCTGCGTGGCGTCTGACATTGATGGCCTTTTCCCGCGTATCCGCACGTACAGTAAGACAAGGGGCGAGATTCGTGTAGCTTGACGATTGATTCAGCTGTACCTGGCCGCCCTTGTGCCACGCCGTCAACAGTGGGTTCTCCATAGATGCCACGCTGCAAGATCTTATACGGGTCGAAACACCTTGAATTGTCGACTTTCTACACTTTCATTCTTCAGCGCCTCGTGCGACGTCCTGAACAGAGCCCTGTGGCGCTGGCGTCGGGGTTGTTGGGACCCTTGGAGCCGAGCATCTTATTCGGTGTACGTGGTGGCTATGAATGCAGAGACATGGGTAACATCGTGCTGTCACACCCACATGGTCCCACGCATATTGATTCTGCCTCGTCAGCTACACCCAGCAATGTTGCATAGGCAGACCAGGGGGCGCTCTCCGAACTCCGAAGGCGGGCGCCGCCCCCTCTCCCGCTTCAGGTGCAAGCTCCCCTCTTCATGGATTTATAGTGCCAATACGGTCGCATTTGTTTCCCCAGTGCTCCTGAGATGGGCTGCCTCAGACCGTTGCGTTCAGGGTCTTGCTCTCTCGTTGGTATCACCGGCAGTGGTGGTGGAAGTCGTCACGACTCACAATGCGAGCAGCATTGCAGCCCTGTGCCCTACCCTGCATGGTAGCTAAGGTACCTTGCCTACCTCCACGTTGTTTCTCATTGAATGTTCTCGCTCGGTTCATCACGTCTGTGTCCAGACCTTGATATAGCCCCTGCTGGGTAGAAAGGGGTAATTACCGGCTGCAACAAGGTGAAATCGCATGCCTGGCCTTCGACAGGGGAGCGATGAAAGCCTCACAATACCACTGAACATAGCCACAATCCAACCCTCCACGGCTCATTCAAGGATGCCTGACATCTCATTGCCTTGCTTGCTTGCCCGCCTGCCTGCCTGCTCTGATCCTTTCCGCGAAACTTGAGGTAGGTTGGTTCGCGCACCATGATGTGCTACAGCTGCCCTGGGAAGGCCTCCTGCTATAAGGCTACTGGATCCTGGATATTCTGAGGCCAACCGTCGCTAGACTTCACACACCCAGACGATAGTTCAGCGTTATTCCCACCAGGTGTTCAGTAGATGAAAGCTGGTTGAGCCATCACTTCCTACCCTCGTCCTTAGACATTCTCCAATCAAGATACACTGCACAACACCTGCGCCTTGTGTCGCCCAGCAACTGCGGTACCTCAGCGGCGACCTGACTAGTCTCTACAGTAACCTCTCCCTCAATTTGTCCATTGCAAGAGGATCGTTCCTCAGTCATTGACCCTTCGTGGCGCTCCCGCTACTACATTCCCTTTCCACAGACGTCTGTCGGCCTGGCTGCGTCGCGAAGCATGGCCCCGAGCAAGAAGCGACATGGACTAGACAACCCAGAAAGAGTAGATCAGATACCTCACCGTGGCGAGAAATTTGATCGCGCCAGGAGCAGATCGATTCCACGACGCCCTCCGCGGCAGAGTGCCCCCAAGGCAATTCGCAGAGACGAGGCGGTGGACTTTCTTGAGGACATAGCTTCTGAACTAGACGACGCCAAAGTGCAATGCGACTTTGATTTCGACTCTTCAAAGAGCTTCCTTCCCAGGCGCAAGATCCTGGAGATCCTCACTCCAGAGAGGGTACGGCAAATCGTTGGGTGTTTGAGCTGTTTTGAGCAAAGCTCGAACAAGGACCAAATAGCAACAGACATATACTACGGGTCTGGCGGTGGGTCTCGCAGGCCATGTCTGAGACTATTGGCTGTCCTCATCGGCATCGAAAAAGCGGAAGATATTCAAAAGCTCATGAACGACGGGATGAGCGATGCTTGCCTTCCCATGGGCATACCGCCAGGCACCTCGGGGAAGCTACTGTTTTGTGAGCACCACAGAACCGCGCACAAAACAATCAATAAGTACCGTCGTCTGGAAACTCGCCAAAACTTCTCCCATTGGTCTTATAGCTTGGTATCGCCCTTCATCCAAGGGGATAAGAAGGGTATGTGGCAGAAAGTCTGCTTTCAAGTACTAGGCTAACGCACTCGCACAGTCCATGCACATTACGTCCTACACCCAGGCGATGTACTGCCCATGAAAGTTGCCAGAAAGGTGGAGAAGGACGACGGTTCGGCGTATGCACTTGGCGCGTCGGAGGCTAACAGTGTCAACCTGTACGGAGGTTTCTCTGATGTCTACAAAGTCAGCATAGACAGAAGCCATTACGACTTCGCTGACGACCATGGGGTAAGCATTGAACCGAATGGTACCTTCGAAATACGAAGGATATCGGGCTGACTTGTATTCAGATGCGACACCCGAGGGGGTTCTTCGCCCTAAAGAAACTCACTTCCAACTCCCGCGACAATTTCGACCTCGAGCTGTCGTCGTTGCTATTTTCCATGGATCAATATCCTGGTGATAAAAGACGAAAGCATCTGATTCAAATACTAGCGACGTTCGAGATGCCCAATATCGCAGTTGCGGGTTCGACCTATTACCTCTTGTTTGACTGGGCTGAAGGAAGTCTGAGCGACTTCTGGCACAGAAATTCGCAGTACGTCGGAGACAAGACACATTGCAGATGGATGATTCAGCAGTTTTACGAGATCACCGAGGCTCTAGGTTGTGTCCATAACGAGCGCTTGCAAACGTTGACCTCACTCAATGATAGCAGGTTCAATGACGATGGGCTCTATGGTCGGCATGGGGATATCAAGCCGGGAAATCTCCTCTGGTTCCGTTCCACCACAGACTCGCTTGTTCTATCCGACTTCGGACTGGGACGACTCCATACCCAGGTTTCACGATCCAAACAAGTTCCTGGTCTCCTCGACAGATCACCCACCTACCGCGCTCCGGAGTTTGATCTACCACATGGCCTCGTCTCGCGCGTATCTGACATCTTCAGCCTCGGCTGCGTGTTCTTGGAGTACATCACTTGGTTCATGAGAGGTCTCGACACCATGCAGACGGTCTTCCCAGAGAGCAGACTCGAGGATGATGTTCACGGTTTCCAGGCAGACGTCTTCTTCACGATCAGGAAGGACAGCCGAGGCACATTGAGGCCAGAGCTGAAAGATGTCGTCAAGAAATGGATTAAGGACTTGCAGGCCGACGAGAATTGTAGTTGCTTCCTAGACCAGCTACTCGACATCATCAAGGACAAGATGCTCCAGCCCGACCCGAAGAAGAGGATCGAATCCGGTTTGCTCATCAAACAGATGAAGTCCCTGCGGAGGGCCTGCGAAGATAACCCAAGCTTCTATCTCAAGACCAAGAAGGAGTCTTGACAGCATCAGAACTCCGCGGGCGTACGACGTCAAGCCCATTATGAATATCCCACGGGATTTGTCTCGGTACCTCGCAAAGGTTATGGGCCGTCGCCTTGAAGTGCTCACCTGGCACAGGGGTGAGGTCGATTTGGCGACAGTTTCCACTCGGTGAATGCCTTGATAAGTGTGCACTTCATATTAAGGGATGCGGGCAAGTTTTGCATGGTGAGTCGCTCAATCCCCGGTAGCGCTCCTCGTCTTGAGTTCTAACCGTTGTAGTGGATGCGGATATGTTGTTCGATTACAGCGAGGTCTTCCTTTTGGCGTGAAGAGAAGTCAGCGTCACCTTTCTCTCAGTAGAACGGTCTTCTCACCTGGTGTAGTGGAGTTGGTAAGAGTAGGATGTAGCGATTGGATTTCGTCTGTAAAGTTCATGATTAGTGTTTGAGCTGTCTGGATACGAGTAGGTGATGACCACCTTGACTTTATAGTTCCCCTGGCCGTACATGCTGTCCAGGGAAGCCTTGAGCTTCAATGGATCATTGTATTTTTGCCTTAGAACCGCCTCGTGCCACTGACCATGACCCGATGGTCGCGAGCTATGCATTTCTGCCTCGACGTGATACGAATGAGTCTCGCCCAGTAGTCTCGCCAAGTGAGTAGACAGAAAGCCTGTTCCCGCCGCAGCAGTGAGCCGATAGCGAGCCTACGCAACAGCAACGTGGTATCCGAGAGTTCACGACTTCGAAGTGAGGCTCTGGACTTGGTGGTGGTGATCGACGTACAATGGTCGGTGGGGGCCATTGTCCTCGGGCGTCTCGGGCGAAGGCGGTCGACACCGCTGACGGATGAGGGAGCTAAGCGCTTACCAACGGACTCAGATGCAGTGAGTGTGGCACCCTGCGCCCAACCGATAGTATGTCGGGGGACAACGCATGCATGAGGGCGCCCTGCTGGATTGGTGAGGCAAACTCTTGGCCACGGTCGCAGCGCATCTTCTCCGAGACCAATCGGATGTGCACGATCACAGAGTTCTTGCAGCAGACTGCATAAGGCCGCTCACAAGGTTGATTCTGGCGCAGTCCACACCATTATGAGGGCCAGATTGTCGAGGGCACCGTGGGTTATGGGGTATACTGGTTCACTTGGTCATTGTCATTGATCCTACGACTGAACGATAGCATCCTGAAATCTATACCTCTCGTTGGGGCTAGCATCGCTCATTCGATTCACAGTTCTGAATCCCTGCGGAATCGAAAGCCCAATGGATTGGCCACTAGAGGACACCGAATGGACCAGCCGTGACCTAAATGTCTTCAACTATCAACAGGGCCGCGCTGTCATCCTGCAGAAGCCGAGCTCGGATGAAGTGAGCCCACTCGAAGAAACCTCAATGATCCTGACGCTGATAGTGGTCATGTAAGATGATAGTAGGTGAGCTCAAGAACAAGAATGACTGGGAAGTCTGGTTCGACAATGTGCGTAGATCAGCGGTTTGCCACACGGCGACATCCTCAAATGCCAGCTCGCTGATCATCCCTTATTCAGGCACCAAGTGTCACCAGCGCGGAGGAAGGCCTATATGCATTGTAGGGAAGCGTTCACTATCTTGGCTACCAAGCGATGCTAACCCAGCTTCCTAGATTATGCAGCAGAGCCCAGCCCGTTTTCGATGGAGAAGCCGCACCTGTCTCCTATCTCCCGGTCACGAGAGACACTTGGGAAAGGGTGACCAGAGAGTTTCAAATCCATCGACGCATCACGAGGACCATATCCAGGCAGGTGCCTTTCGTTTCTTCGAATTGGGAGAGAGATGTGGAAACAGCGAAGTGGAAGATCTGTCAGTGCAATCAATTCCTGCATACTTCTCAGCAGCTAACGACCGCTTCTAGCGTTCACTGCTCGGACGTCGGCGTACTTGCAGAACGACCTAGCATTATCCGTCACATATAAACCGAGTACGGGCTCGATTTTCTGTGTGGTGTACGGATGCAATGAGCAACAGATAGAAGCGTTCATGAAGCGCGTTAGGATGGCCGGAGACAGAGTCAAGTATCCGCTGCTCATGCTAGGCATATTCGCAGAGGTCGAGCGCGAGAGACTGGTAGGCATCGCAGACCAGCTCCTCGATAGGTTCACACTCCGATCCGAGCACCTCGAGAACCGACCCCTGGATCCCTCAACGGACATGAACGGTGCCAATACGCAGGAACATTTGGCACTTTGTCTTCAATCTCGCAGCTTGGTGGATCACATACAGTCGGTCAAGCGGCAGCTATCCAAGCTCCTTACCGAGATAGACGACCTTGGACAACGGCTGACGCTTCGCAAAGAGAAGGATGGCATTCTGCCAAAGACCTTCAAGAACGGACGCCAGCTGAAGCGGATGGGAGTTCAGATGAAAAAGAGGCTACAGGACATCATCCACGAGTATGATGATAAGATCGATGAGTGCAACATGATCGTGGGGAATACCTCCCTAGCCATGCAAACCGTAAGTCGACGTTACCCAGGCCGATATCACGTTCACATTACTCACCTAAGACAGGTTTGGAACCTCATCGCCAGACACGATTCGCAAATAAATACCCGATTCGCTCGTGCCAACACAATGATCGCTGTTGAGACGAAGCGCGAGTCCTCGCAGATGAAATCAATCGCCATACTGACGATGATATATCTGCCTCTCTCAAGCGTTGCTGTTCGTACCAATATCCAGTACGATGAACCATGGGACTCAGCTAATCTTAAATAGGCCATCTTCTCCATGGACTTGTTCAACTGGAATGCCGGGGCTGGCGAGTCCATCGTGTCAAAGCACATATGGATATTTGCCGTGTTTTCGGTGGGACTCACGACTCTGACTCTTCTCGCATGGCGTCATGTGACAAACCGACATGAGAAGACAACAGGGAAGGGCAATGAGAGCTTGGGTTCACCGAAGACGGAAGCTGAAATGGTATGAAGCTCACGGCTAGATCTGCGGATGGGACTGGTGGTTCAAGCAAGAACAGCAAGTAACACTGGCACAAGAGGAGAGCTTAAAGGCGAGTTCATTTGTTTCAGATTGTATATCCATGTGGTTACCTGATCGCATAGTCAGCACGTTATGCTTGTCGAGCCCTGGCACATTTTTCAGGAGATCTCAGGAACTCTTTTAACGGCAATTTCACAGCTTCCAACATATATACTATTACTTGACCATATAGGTCCATGCTGGAGCTGGGAAATCCCCATCCCCCCCCACGAAACCAGAACGGCAGACATTCACTTTGCTCATTGGTGCTGTGCGCTGATCCGTAAGGTGAGTGCTAAGCATTTTTTGGCTGTGGGTTTTTTCTTCTCCTCAGGCATCTCAGGCATCTCAGGCGTCTCAGGCGTCAGGTTATTACTAGCCACACTTTTTTATAGCTCTTGCACATGCGCACCGTCTTTTCATCCTGCAACACCACGAGTCGACAAAGCAAACGCCCAGGACGCTCACTTCGTGGCCTCCGGAGCCAGGGAAGCGGCCCAAGATTAACAAACGTATCGTCGGCACCGACGACGACGACGATCTCGCGGACCCCGAAGGTAGTGCTCGACAGGCCTTTCTTAAGAAAAAAAAAGCGGCATGAGGAGATCGTCATAGGTTCCGACGACGAGAGTTCTGAACTTCTAATAAGGATAGCGACGGTATTTTTTCGAATTCGATTCTTATCCTTCGTCTCCCATTCATGCCCCCGGTTACAAACTATACGTTGCGCGGCTTAGGACCCGTTAAGACTATAGGTAAGACCAAGACGCTTGTTCGTGCGAAGGCGGCCATTAGAACTAAGATGCTTAGCACGACTAAAACAGCCGCGTCTATCAAGAAAGTTACGCATGGGAAGATCGAGACGCTGACCAAGCGTGCGAAGATTGCTATGCTTATTGCTTCTTTGATTATCGGTTACCATGGCAGATTCGGAGTCCCCACGGACGCAAGTCAGCCCGGATCCGGCTGTTCCAGTAAACATCGCTGTCGCAGCCATTTTCGACAATCACTCTAAGTTGGAGCGGTTCATGGGTCGGTTTCAACCCACTTTCGATAGAAGATGGAAGAAGGCTACGGCTAGCAAGAGGCAGAAGCTTCTGTTACAAGCATGGCCTGAGATGGCCACCCGCCATCGAGCCGATCTGCATGATTTCATGTCCGACTCACCGAAAAGAACCACCACCTGGTACCTATGGCCGCACGTGTATACGGAAGATCTCTCGAGAGAGGAGATGATACCCTTACCATCCCCCACCCCCTAACGGGACACACCCCCCACCGGGACAGCCAAACCCCACAACCACCACCAAAAGTCCCCTACCTCACTTACACGGATTACAGCCCCCTTTGAGGCTATCTATACGCTCTTTAGATGGTTAGATAGCCCTTTTCTTGGTATTTAGCCGGATGTAGATTAGTGAAGTTTCAGCCATCGGCATCGGTGATTAGGAGCCTCCGTGCCCCGCCCCTAAATGCAAATTTGCTGTAGAATTCTCTCTCTGAGCCCCTGACCCTTATGCCACCATAGCATCGTGAAGCCAGCCACGATGCCTCCGCCCACGTACACTGAAGATAATATGGCAGATGCCTGGCTAGATGTGACAGATAACAGCATGTCTGTAAGAAAAGCCGCCCAAAAACACGGCATCCCTAAGCAAACGCTGTCAGCATGCATCAACGGCAGAGTCACCCGAGCCGAGGCCCAGGTTAGCAAGCAGAGACTCTCCCCTCAACAAGAGAGTAAGGTGGCTCAATGGATATTGCTCCAGGAGTCCCTAGGGCTTACCCCTTCTCACACAGCCGTGCGAGAGATTATTGTACAACTGCTGAAAAAGGGGGGGGGATTTCGCACCACTGGGCCCGAATTATATGGAGGGCTATAAACGCCGTAACCCTACCATCCAGACTAAAATCAGTAAGCGGATAGAATCCGCTCGGTTTAAGGGGTTCATCCCTAAGTCTGTCAACTGGTTCTTTGACATATTGGGGGATTATCAATGGGTGAAGCCAGAAAATACGTACAATGTCGATAAGGGCGGCATTATGTCGGGTTTTGGTTAGTCTTTTAACCCCTTATTCACCCCTATCCTGTCAGTTAACTAGCTAACCCCTATAGGCATCGATTCCCTAGTCTTAGGAAGTTCTGAGACTACGAAAGCCTTCCTAAAGAGTCCCTAGGGGCGTGGCTGGACCTCCTTTATCGAAGCCATCTCAGCCACGGGAAAAGTTCTCAAACCAAGCATAATTTTTAAAGGAAAAGATCTCCAGGCCCAATGGTTCATCAAAGAATTCTGCAAAATCGCGGGTTGGTACTACATAACGTCAGATAACGGCTGGACCAGTAACGAGATTGCGTGCCTATGGTTAGACCACGTTTTCCTACCCCAGGTGGATGCTGTACGAGAGGAAGACCAGGCAGAGCCGATCCTTTTGATACTAGATGGCCATGGTAGCCATACTTCCGTACGTTATTTATTTTTCAGGGGTTGTTTAATCAGTTAATTAATTGTATAACTAACAGGACGAGTTCATATTGCGGTGTTATTTTGTCAACATCTTGCTTTGTTTTTTCCCAGCCCATACCAGCCACGGCATGCAACCACTAGATAACGGACCATATAATGCGCTCAAAGCCTACTATCAGAGATTTTTTTCGCAGTTAAATTCTCTCATAGATGCCTCGCCTGTGGATAAGATCAACTTCATCCGCTGTTATTCTCAGGCTAGGGACAAGGCTTTTTCTAAGCCGAACATCCTCTCGGGCTTCCGAGTGACGGGGTGCTACCCAGTTAGCCGCAGGAAGTGTTTGAAACACCCGGAAATCCACACACACTCTTACCAAAAACAACTATTTTTCTTGGCGCCCCGCTGTTAGGGCGCAACCTCTATATCTGCACTAAAACAGGCATTTATTTCAGTACCTGACTATCCTTGCCAAGGCGCAGAAAATTTTTCTCACAAGCTGGATGGCACCCCTTCACGATAGGCCCCCAAATACGCCAGTGGCCGTCCCAAAGACGACTACTGGCGGCGTGCTCAAATCCCCGGTCCCTAAAAGAACATATGGCCCGGCAACCCCAAGCAAGCTCCGCCAGGCACTGCTCGACGACATCAACAGCAGCCCGTCACAAGTCTCTGAGGCTGACTTCACCATTATTTCCCCTCTGAAAGGAAAATCCCGAAATATTAATACTAGCAGCATCATTGATATGGAAGTACCTCAATCAAACGAAATCTCTACAGACCAAGCCATTGGAGGCGATACAGGGAACAAGGTCTCTTCCTCAAAGTGCCAGGACCAAGTAGCCAAAATACTGGCTAAAGACAAGCATCTCTATGAAGCCAGGATGACAATGTTTCAAGAGTGTGCTGCAGCAGTCGATAAGACACTGGAAAAAGCTGGAACCGAACTATACTCTCATGCCAAGGAGTTCAGCGCTTTCTTCTCCAAATGCCTGAACGAGTGGCTGGAAACCCGAGATCTGCCCAAAAGAAAGACCACTCCTGGCGGGATAGGGATAGGGAAGCCCACCATGACCTTCGCCCAAGCTGTCTCCTCTGGCCAACGACAGCATCCATGGACAGTCAACACTACCATGAAGAAAACACAGCCTGGCGCCCTCATCACTGCCAACCAACTGAAGAAGAAGCAGGATGATCTCCGGGTCTTTGTCCGCATGGATAATAGCCACCTAGAGCCTTATGGAATCAAGTCTACACTGAACAGAAGACTTAAGCTCCACCCTCAGGAGCTTAGAGAAGTGACACGATGTCCTTCTGGTTTTACCTTACACCCAAGGGACAAGCCAACTCAGGCTAAGCTTCTGGCTTTCCAAGAAGAAATTGCCGACATTCTCAAGGCACAAAAGATTGAGACCCACACAGTCTGGCATCATTACAAGGTCAATGGATGCCCAAGAAAGGTCATCAGTGCAGAAGGGTTCACAATCGATATTACTGACACTGTTGTTGCCGATGAAGTTGAAGCCCAAACAGGCGACAGACCTCTGAGGTGCATACTCTCAAAGAACACGATTGATTCTGATCCAGAAACTACATGGATAATCTCTCTGCCCAGTGCAGCAAGGAAACCATTCACGCTTTTTGCCCACTCAATGACCTCAAGGCATATTCAACACACCCCCAAGGTTCACCAGTGTGCAAGCTGCTTCAGATACCATGGTAGGAATTACCGATGCGAAAAGCAAGTATGTGCACACTGCGCCAACACAGTACACCAGGGAGAGTGCGAAAAACCAATCCCAAAGTGTGTCAACTGCAAAGGACCTCATGCTGCCAACTTCGACAAATGCCCTGCCCGCCCCAAGGTTGTGAAAGGTACCATCCATAAGCACACATGGGAGCAAATCCAGGAAATAAGGCTAGCCGGAGAAAGAGCCAGATCCAAGGCCTTCAACGAAGCAGGCAGAAACCAAGCTGGGTCAACACCTAGCAATAATAACAAAGACACCACAATGCAAATCGACACAACAGATACAACTCATCCCAGAGATGCCGATACCATTGTTGTCAGTCAATGTTAGGTACATCAAACGAAACACATCGACACGGGCATCTAGTCATCCATTCTGTGAATACAGCAGGGGGACAAAAGAGTGCAGGCCCTACAGAGTTAGCCATCAATCTGGCTGACTATAAAGGAGAACAAGCAGACATCATTCTGATGCAAGAGGCCTGGGTTGGCATACCACCAGGCAGGAGAATGGGAGTAAAGACACACCCCAATTACGATATATACTCCCCAGTGGATTCCTGGGACAGCGACAGTACACGGCCCAGATCTCTCATCTATGTGAGAAAATACCTTCAAGCGGATCAACTTCGGCCCTATGCTACACGAGACATCACCTGGGTCAAGGTACAAGGCATTACATTTGCCAGTGTCTACCGGCCATGTGACAACCCACAGGAAGTGGATGACATTCTGG